TGAAGGACATGGTTGAAAAAGTGTAGTTTGAAGTGTTGAAAAAATAATAAATTACAAAATATTTTTTACGCGTAAAATATAGTTTTTTGCGTGTAACAAATAGTTTCTCGCGTGTAACAAATAGTTCTTTACGTATAGCAAATAGTTTTTTACGCGTAACAAATAGTTTTATACGCGAAGAAAATAGTTTTTTACGTGTAACAAATAGGGTTTTTTACGCGTAATAGTTTGACTCACTTTCGCAAAATTTGTATTAAAATATCAATATTTTTGATAAACACACTTCAGTAAATATTTAGTATTAAAAACTTTGACACCCTTGGAGAAATGAATCCTTAAAATTTTTACTGAAATTTCATAAAATTCAAAATATTCCCAAAACGGTAAGGTTTAAGTGTGATAAACCAAAATCAAATTTACCTTTATTTCAAACGTAGAATCTAAAAATAGAATAATATACAGGGTATTCCATTTAAAAAAATACAACTATAATATTTCTTACTTATTTGGGACACTCCGTATCTTGTAAAAATATCTTTAAATTGTAGCTCTAATAGTTCTTCAATGAACCCAAAACTTACAATTTGTAAAAATCTAATCGTTTAGCTACAATACTTTAGTGTCGTATGTGTTGAACAACCCTGTATATTCTTGTTTTATTAAAAAAAATAAACTTCATATCTAATAAATTATAAACATTATTTTGATCATTATGAGCGACACCATATCGGTATAAATTATGCTAATCTGTGCTACTTTTCTCTTGCGATTCTCCATTTTAGGAGGTGAAATTATTAAGTAACTGTCTGGTTTTTGCCTGCAGTAAGATGGCCCATTAATGTCCCGTTTTAACGCTCTTCACTAATTGAATGGAAATTTTTTACAACTTGTTTACAAAATATTCTGTACACTGACGTTTCTATGTTGCCGGAATTCTAAGTACCAGTGAAATTACATATTTGGGTTTAAAAATAATAGTTATAATAGTAAAAAACCCGTTGTAAACTTTCTCAAGAAACATACTCAGTAGTGCTAATTAAATTACTGTCATATATTTACAAATAGAAATTGTTTACAAGTTACGTTGCTCTGCTTTGATGCTTTTCCACAAGATATTTGTTAGAAACCCACCACCTTCCACTGAACTTCGAAAATAATAAACTAGTTTTTATTTTTTTTATCTTAAAAGGTAATAAAAGTAAACTTAAATAAAATAAAATACAATGCTCAACCGAAAATAATCAAATTATGTCTTATTTCGTTCAATTAGATTTAACCAGCACTTTTAATTTTTTTCGAGATCGTGCCATTTTATATGATATTCGCGGGTGAATTTATGGAAGGTGAAAAAAAATGTATTTTTTAATTTTATTACGTGTATCGCACCGTGAGCATCTTAGCGAATAATTTCGATTTTTGTAAGATAATATATACTCGAGCAGTTTTGATATTTTTTGTATATAGACGGTACTTTTAACTCTGCATTTTGTATAGGCTTTCAATTTATTATTGATAGGGAGTAACAGACTGTATCAATGAAATACAAAATAAATTTGCTAATTTAAATTGACCTGTTATTTTCTTTATTACCCTATTTAATATTTATAAGTTGTTTAAGGAAGAGTCAAATCTTATTTAGGATAATATACTTACCATAATATACCGCGTTGGCAAGTCTTGCTGTATGCTTCGTGCAGTTCAGTTGATTTTAAAAAATTCCGACCGCGGCGCTGTATACGGCAGAAATCAGAAAGTATTTCACGTCGTCCTGGTTACACTTCATGTTGATGGAATTAAAATAATATTAAAATCGTGGCTTTGTCATAACATTTAAGTACTTTAGTTTTTTGCTAGTGACGTTATTGAAACTATAAAACACTCTGGTAGGAGGTTTGTGTGATGTAACGCTGTTTCGAGTAGCAAAAAATAAGTGAAAAAGAATTCGAACTAGGCGTCGCACGATGGGGTATTAGCATGAAAAAGGTGATCGAAATTCGAAAAAGCAAATGTGTTTAAGATTTCCCAAAAAAAGATAAATGATAAGTTAAATCATGTCTGCCATGAATGGCGTTGCTATGGGTGTGTTTAGTCGCATTCATTTGTTTCAACGAAACGTTAAAGTTGTTACTTCTCACAGATAAGAGGTAAATGGCTAAATTTTATGTTTAAAATTATAAATTGTTGTTGTTCTTGTGCTCTTTTTACGTTTATTTTATCGTTTTGATTGAAAATGGCTCAGCAAGCTGCAGGTATGTATTCTACAAAAACGTATTATTTAATTTGATATTCTCTATACTAACGATTTTTTTTGCAACTTAAAGTTAGGCGTTCAGAAAATTTGATTAAATTTGTGACATTTTTATTATACTTAGAGATTTAGTTGCGCATTTCGAAGAATTCAGCATATTGTCTATATACCTTTAACTTAGTAAACATTGAGCTTTCATACAGTAAAATAAAATACTGCGACTTTGCTGATAAAATGAGAAAAACATTCTTGGTTTCCTCTAATTTACCAATCAGTGATATACTTATGCGAGGTGTAAACCGCGATGGCATTGTTGTGTACAAAGCGATGGCATTAGTGCCATTAGCAGTATAGCACAATTTGGCATTAGTAACGACTTTAGTGGTATGGGCATTGCTCGCGGATCAGTCGTAGCATTAGTAGTATTAGTTGCGATATTACTACTGGCATTAGTGGCATTGTGGAAACCAAGCAGTTCGACGAAAAAAGTGAGTAAACAAAGTGCTCGTTACAAAAAAATAAATAGACATAATATACTATGAGAGGATAAAATATAATTTGCAATATTAATGGTATATATTTTTTTATCAACTAGTGATTAAATGTTTTATGAACAACTTCTAAAATTATAATCATGTGTTATTAATAGCCCCAATTAGGACCGCCTAGCAAAACCGGTGATTAAAACTATGCTCGCTACCATAGAGAATTCATCTAAAGTTTTTTAGCTGGAATAATAAATTATAATACAAGTTATACCTTCTGAAGGTATCAAAATATTTACTGATTTATTTTTAATTTTAGAATTTTCACAAATTCTACTTTCTAACACTTTTAGAATAATTAAATAATACATTTTCCGTATACTCGCTATTTAAATCCGTGTATTTGTATATTCTAGTTGTTTACGATATTCTCTCCGATGGTGGCAGCACTGGCGGAAAATGCACCAAGCCTATAGAAATTTTTTTGGAAAAATGGAAATAAAAATGAACCTGTACACCTTCTATCTTCGAAACTAAGCATATTAATTAGGACATAAATTTATAAGATTTTTTTTTACTTATTTTTATCTGCATAATATGCTGCCGAAGTTTCCCGAATACAATTCGGACCACCCTGTATATCATATTTAGAATCAGCATCCCCTTTATTAATGACAGATATATTATGGTAGAGTCATGATAAGCGGGACACTGTCCAGGGCGAGTCTTAAACAAGTGTAAATATTTTTAGGGGTTGTAGATATATTTCGATCCCAGAAACACGATTATGAGTTTTTTTTTCGCGAAAGAAAAAGTTTTTAAAATTTGGAATTTTTGAAAAAAAAATTAAAATGTTTTTAGTTCTTAAAAAACATAATTACTTGATAATATCACAGATTAGGTATCCTATAAGTATACAGATAAAAATCTTGTCCATAATTCGTGGTACGAAAATTGTTTTTTATGACGATGTGCAAACGAGTCAAATTTCCGGTACGCAAAAATAAACTCGCGTAAAATAACAATAAACAGCGTAATAGAGAGATATCGCTAAACCGAATAGCGTGCATGGACGTTAAGGCCAGGTGTTATTTCCTTTACGTGAGGTGGTATTAACTCTCTTCATTTATAGTTATCGGATCGGAAAGAATTCTGATCGCGTCGCGTCCGCTATTTAAATTTAACCTAACTTTGAATTTAAAACTTTGAAATTGTTTTGTTTACTAGGTATTTTAAAACTAAAGGGCTAAAGTGCTTATTTCCAGTGCTTTATTGTTCAACGTCTGCCAGTGGGTTTAGGGCAACAAGCAACAAATTCTCTTAGAAGGGCTAAGTCATCTGCTGTAAACCTAAGACTCTTTATAGGTTCTTTAGTATTGGAAGAGGTGGAATCCATATTTTGAGCCATATTTATTTAATTAAATTTAATTAAAACTAATCCCCCAGCTACTTAAATATCAAATTACCTAATAAAACTAAAGCAATAATTTAAAACAATTCAAACATAACCTAAAATAAAAGATCTCGCCGGCCGGCTCCGGTTGTCAAGTACCCGCACATGCCCATTTAAGCAATTTTTAAACGTTATCAGAGGTTATTTAGAAAGAGCGCTTGGTGTAATTGATCCGCAAATTACGTCAGGCGTTAACGTTATTAGCGGGTGTTGCGTTAAAAATTGACTCGCGCATATCGTAACCATGATAAGGTACGCGTAAATAGTGAATGACGCTATTCGGTTTTCCGATGTCTCTCTAATAACTGTGCCGGTCAGGCGCTGTGCACAATTTTAGAGGCCATAAGTGGGCGTGCTTTGTGCGCAAACTAGTCACCTAACTAGTGCCCGATTCCGAAAATTGGAACCACGAAAAACAATAAAGAAAAAACAAAGATTATAATCTGTATAATCTGTGATAATATGGCAACAGAGGTAGTAGATTAAATTTACAAGAAAGAAAACCCAGAAGGAATCCAGTGGTTCTCAAAATTTAAGCAAAAAATCATTTTTTTGGCAATTTTCAAAGAAAAATATCTCGGTTATTTTGGACTTATTTGAAAAACAAAGAGAAAATATATTTCTTTCATTGAGATCTACCAGCCCTGAAAATATTTGTACTTATTTAAAACTTACCCTATATATCAGGAATTTCTCTTATTTTTTTTTCAGCAAATAAATAGTTATTATTGTTTTTACTTTTTTTTAAAATATTATACAAGATGTTATAAAAATAAATATTTATTTTAGTAAGTTACATAATTAAAAACCATATCTTTACATTTACACACAATATCATTTATTCTTCATTTTGAGGCGTGACATACAAAATTGGTTCTTCACTCGAAATTTCAACTATTGAAGATGGAAGTGGATCTTGGTGGATAGAAGGTTGATTAGGATCAACAGTACTTTCAGGCTCTAAAACACTTCTTGCCCTACGTTTCCTAGGCGCAGGTTGACCCATCTCAATCTTTTCAAATTTACTTTGTGCATTTTCATGCTTTTCTTTAAATTCTACTTTAACATTTTCATCATTTTCAGGTAAATTTTCAACGTTATCATCAAATTCCTCTTTCGTTGGTTTATATTTGTTTCGATCCTTTGAAGGTTTTTTATTTGAAGTAGGCCTTTCCTCAAAATCGCCTTCGTCAATTTCCTCATCACCGCACGGTTGATTTCCTTTTGGAGGTTTGTTCTTATTTTTATGTTTTCCTCTAGACTCCCTAAATGAAAATTTGGGTGGTTTATCTTCAGAACACTCTTGATCAGTATCTTTGTCAGGTTTTCTTTTATCTTTTTTGTGTTTCAGCTTGTTTTCGGAAGAATCTTCCTCGGACGGCGAGCTTTCTTCAGAATTGTCTTTCTTTCTCTTTTTTCCATCTCTTTCTAGGTACTCATCTGATATATCTTCTGTCAAAGAACTTCGTTTATCTCGAATATTTTCTGGGCTGTTGAGTGAATATTCTATTTTGGGTGTATTTCTATCTGGTGTATCCAGTAATAGTATTTCTGTTTTGGTATCTTGCGTATAGGACTTGTTTTCATAATTTTCTGATATCCCATTATTTAGCTAAAAATTAATAGGTAAGTATACAGAGTCCGGTAACAATGCGTCGGGCATTTGTAGTTCCTAGAATTACAAACTTTGAATTTTGTTTAAATGCAAACTTAAGTATGTACTAGGATGTATTTCAGGAATATATTTTAACTTCTACGGGGTGGCTCAAAAAAGTGTGTGGATCGGAATGATTTTTTTTCAATGGAACGCCCTGTGTATTATTGCATTTTTGGCTTCCTTTCAGATCACTTTACATAATCCTAAGATATGAGTAAACATATTTCGATAATTTCAGAGATATTAATAAGTAAATAAAAAAATTGGCGCCGGGAGGCACGTATAAGCCGCCCATACTAAAATATGTTAATAAAAAGTTGGTAGGTAGTTCTTTTAGTTTCAAATTTTATTCTTAATCTATGGTTTCAAAGTAAAGGCATTTTTCCAAAAAAAAATTATCTCAAAAACTGCGACTTTGACTGATTTTGATGTTATTACAAATTTTGTTGCAAATATTATTCCTAATCTTAAATTGAAAACCGCGTTTCGCTAGCTACTGATGTAATTTTGGAGTTACGATTTTTTAAAATTTTTAACCCCCTCCCATACCCCCTTACCAACCCCCCACCCCCACCAAAAACTAATGGCCAGATTCTCGGATGCCACAGTATTTTTGTGCCAAATTTGGTTAAAATCGGTTTAGCGGTTTTTGAGTCATCGTGTTACAGACGGACAGGCAGACAAGGGCAGACGGACAGACAGACAGACAGACACCATGAAAATATTTTGTATTTAGGTCATTTATGACCCAAAAAGCTCATTTTGAGTGAAATTAAAAAAACTTTTTTGTCGATCTTAATAGCCCACCATACCTATTGGTATGGTCGGCTAATAAACCTATATTTTCCAACCTTTCTTAAAAAAAATATTACAAATACAAGAACTGTCCTGAAATCAAAACTATATTAGATATTGACGTTGGACAGTCTGTATTTACTTTGCTATAAATATGGTAATCGTAAATCATACAGGATGTTCAAAATTCTACGCCAAACTTATATAATATAAAAATATACATATATAACATAATTTTTTTTCGTTTTTTTTTCTAAATAGTAGTTTGTAGTTTTAAATAGTAACAGTAAATTTTTATCACAGCCAACCAATAATGATTTTTTTTCTCGTATTTTACCGTTAAAAGAGCCATATGAAATAATACCGCGAGTATCTGCGAAAGAGTTAATAATTTTGAAATACTCTAAATAGAAAAAATGTTTATTTTTTAATTCTCCATCTAATAAGAAAATAATATACATTAAAAAAAAACGAAGAAAACTTATTTTATATTTTATAGGAAGTATATGGCACTGAATTTTGAACATTCTGTATGCTTTAAGATTACAATATTTATAGCAAATAAGTACAGGACCATCTAAAGTAAATATCTAATGTAGTTTTGATTTCAGGACCGTTATTCTATTTTTAATATTTTTTTTAAGAAAGACTGAAAAATATGTATTTTTTATTTATTTATTAATATCTCGGAAACTATCGAAATATATTCACTCATATCTTAGGATTATGTAAAGTGATCTGAAAGGAAGCCAAAAATGCAATAATATACTGAGTGTTCCATTAAAAAAATAATCCCGATCCACTTACACTTTTTTGGACCACCCTGTAGGAGTTAAAATATTTTCCTGAAATACATCCTAGTTCATACCTTGTACTAGGATCTTAGTAAATACGTTTGCACTTAAACAAAATAAATTTTTAATTTTATGTAGAAGCTACAGAGATGCCCGACGGACTTTTGCCGACCTGTATATTTAAATAGTCAGCTTGATTTTGAATACCTTTTGTTTCCCACCTTGTGGAGCATTACCTCCATTTTCTAGAGGAAATGCTGTGCAAATATTTACCAGAGCTATCCCAAGAAATAAACGTTTTAACACCTAAAATAAAATAACACTATAGATAAACATTTCAAATAACTAACTAAAGTATTATTATTTTACCTTTGCCATTCTAATTCACCTAGCAAAGTCAACTTAAGAACTGCTTGATCAGAAGAGTGACCGCATCTTTATATACCGTTATTTTCTGCATATCTATTTGTTTTTCTAATTGGAATTTGTTTACTAATTAACGCTATTTCAAGCTAGTTTTATTAAAATTCCACTATTAAACATGCATTAAATGCTTCTATCAAAGTTAATTTATTACAATATTGTGCCAAATAAATGAAGTAATACGAAATCTTGAAGAACTTCTTTTTAAATTATTATGAATAATTTATAGGTGTATTTTATTTTACGCGCCGTTAGCTGGCCGGTACAAATGAACTACTTTTTGCAGTCCACAGAACAAATATTTAAAATATAACCTCAAAATTATTTTCCCGCCCAAAGTTCCCGCACAAACGGCACAAGCCCCAAGCCGCCCAATGATCCCGCAAAAAAAAACAGACTGGAACATTCTGAACAACGTGGTTTTGTTGGTCAGTTTAGTCGTTTAGTGTATATCTGTGATTTGTGTCGTTTTATTTAAGACCAGCAAAAGGATTTACAAACATAATTAATTTGGAAACTACAGTACGCCAAAGATTTTTATGTTACGAAAATATTTTAAATGATGATATCAAAAATCTCATAGTTGATCTTGAGTGTTTGGTGGAGGATAGTGTCTTAGATCGATTAGGACATCACTTATTTGGGTTACTTGCTCTAAAAGGCAGATCCTTTTACACAGCTTTCGTAGAACATGAAGTTCAACTATTAGGAATTCGATTAGCTTCTTACAATCCAGAAGATGCTATAAATTTTGTTAAAGCTCTAAAAAGTCATGTGTAACATGTTTAGAGGCTGTTGAAGTGGATGGAAAAGTGAAAAATTACTTTATTGCACTTAGTTCAGTCTTTTTAAAACTTGTTCTATTTTCGAAGACCTAAAGATGGTTCAAGGTAAGATAGATAGTTTTATACTAAATATTCTGATATATTCATGTTTTTTTTATATTTTAGTTCACTTTCCTTATTGTGTTGATCTTCCAAAAAGACAGTATGATTTAACTAATGGAATGTTATTTATAAATTGTACAGAATGGAAAACTATAGTACTGTCTTTATATAAAAGTTTTCTACATGTAGCTTTGTCTGAAATAAGGTTTATACCTAAACCGAATGATGCTTTTAAAGATGAAAGAATCACAAGTATTTTAAGCTTAGCTCAAGATCTATTCTTTAAAAATACCTCAGTTAGGTCAAATAGAAAATGTAGTAGTTTAGAAATGAGACATTTTAAAGAAGAGTCTGGAAACTTTCCATTGAGCATGAAGAATTTATATAATAATTTATTGAAAAGTAACAGATTAAGTCATAATGCTAGGTAATGAGTTAATTGCTTGTTTATAGAATTTCTAAACACATTTGTTTTTTCTGTTTAGATTTGATATTAGTTTGTATTTGAAAGAGATTGGGCTCCAAAGAACAGATTCCTTTGAGTTTTGGAAGAAATTTTATTCAAAACAACACTCAAGTTGCTGAAACTGTACTCACGAGGAAGAAAACGAGAAGCAGTATATTTATGGTATTAGACATTTATATGGACTAGAGGGCTCTAGGAAATCTTATAATGTAAAAGATTGTTCTCAAATACAGGTATACATTTTTTTATATTTATTATTTTACAAGTACATAATTTATTGTATTTTAAGATTATAACTTTTGGGGCAAATGAAGGAGGTGTTGCTTTTGAAAAACTATCTACCTATCAGTAGCAGCGAAAACATTCAAACAATATAATTAATGAAAAAAGGGGAAATCCAAAAAAAGGGCTGAAAAATTTTTAGATTTTTTTGTAAAAAGGGTGAAGGTAATGTTGAACTACATTCTAAAAATCTGGCGGAATATTATTTCTTATTAAAAACAATTACTTCTTTATTTTTTACCACTGATGTAATATTAAGATGTATACAGGTCAACAAAAAAATAGTGTATTCGAGAGTGTATCTAACTTCGATGGGTGATTCTACAGATAAAAATAAAACAAAAAGTTCATATAAACATATGCCGTAAAATGCTTCTCGAAGAAGTTACAGTACTCGAAAGAGAAAATAAAAATAATATGTTTTGTTCATTTTTAAGGACAATGGTAAACCGTTTTTCTTGAAATTTGGTATTTTGATAGAATTTTAATTAATGTCATATTTTTTGCTGTTTTATAATGTTAAAGAAGTCAAAACTTTATTTAGTTAAAGCCGAAGGCTATGGAAACGGTGATAATAGTTGTAGGCAAAACTCAAAGGCATCCTTTATTTGGAAAAATCTTTTACATTGTAAGACTTTCTAGAGCCTTCTAAATGTCAAATACCATAAATATACCTCTTCTCGTTTTCTTCCCCGTGAGTACAGTTTGAGCAACTTGAGTGTTGTTTTGAATAAAATTTCTTCCAAAACTCAAAGGCATCTGTTATTTCGAGCCCAATGTCTTTCAAATACAAACTAAAATTAAATCTAAACAGAAATCATTTATCTGTTATTTTTTGATAAATTATTATATAAAGTCTTAATGCACAATGGAACGTTTCCAGACTCTTCTTTAAAATGTCTCATTTCTAAACTACTAAATTTTCTATTCGACCTAACTGAGGTATTTTTAAAGAACAGTTCTCGAGCTAAGCTTAAGGTGCGTATTCATTATCCGAACGAATGAACGAACGAACGAACGAATGTTCGCTAGTGGTATGGACGGGGACCGTACGATGGAACCGCACGAGAAGACCGGAGGCATTTGTTGGCGAATGCCTTTGATGTACCGACTCGAAACGGATGGTCGAGCGAACGAACGAACGAACGAACGGCCGCATGCGTTCGGTCCCCGTCTAAATATACCGCACTTTCATTCGTTCGTTCGTTCGTTCGTTCGTTCGGATAATGAATACGCACCTTTAAAATACTTGCGATTCTTTCATCTTTAAAAGCATCATCCCCTTGAGGTATAAACCTCATTTCAGACAAAGCTAGATGTAGAAAACTTTTATATAAAGACAGTAATATAGCTTTCCATTTTTCCAAAAGTTTTAAACAGACTGAACTAACTGCAATAAAGTAATTTTTCACTCTTCCTTCCACTTCAACACCCTCTAAACATGTTACACATTGGCTTTTTAGAGCTTTAACAAAATTTATAGCATCTTCTGGATTGTAAGAAGCTAATCGAATTCCTAATAATTGAATTTCATTTTCTACAAAAGCTGTGTAAAAGGATCTGCTTTTTAGAGCAAGTAATCTAAATAGGTGATGTCCTAATCGATCTAAGACACTATCCTCCACCAAACATTCAAGATCAACTATGAGATTTTTGATATCTTCATTTAAAATATTTTCGTAACAAAGAAGTCTTTGGCGTACTGTAGTTTCCAAATTAATTATGTTAGTAAATCCTTTTGGAGGTTTTAAATAAAACGACATAAACCACAGATATACAACTTCCTCTAGGAGATGCGAGACCTTGTCGTTGGTGGGGAAGCTCCTGGTCAGGTGCTAGAGGGAATGCAGCCCTCTTGCACTTTGGCTGGGTCTAAGGAGCATCTCATTGTCTTGTCCCTGGCTGTAGTGTCGTGGCCAGGGAATTGCACCAAGACTGACAGACTGTTATTTCACAGAAATGATAAATTTAGAAACTTTATTTTTTAAATGAATCATACATTTTTCTTCGGAAAAATGATGCTAAACCGGTTTCTGTTGAACTTTTGGCACAAAAACATTTCAAATTTATGATTTCAGTCTAATAACTATTTATTCAACATGTTTAATTTATGTCAATGATGACAGGTATTGATAATTTGGATTACAAATATCTCGAGAATCATTACTCGTAGCGATTTTTACCTCTTTTACGTAAGAAACTTCGTAAATGTATATTTTTTTACTTAGTAGTTTTATACAGGTATGAACGAAAAGTTCAAACCAGTTTAAAAATATGTAGGTGGCGCCTTCTACAAGTAGGACTCATATTGACATCAAATTCAAATTTCTTAGGTCAAAAAACTCTCAATTTGCATTCAAATATTGACGTTACTTCGGGAATTATTTGGAAAAAATCGAAATAAAAATGAAACTTCTACACCCTGTATCTGAGAAACTAAGCATTTTAGGACATATTTATTTTATCTGCAGAATATGCTGCCGAAGTTTCTGGAATACATTTCGGATCACCCTGTATATTGAAATTTTCAATAGTTTACATAGTTTGTTGTATTTTCTAAGTCTTAATTGATGCTTATACTATAAATTACTTAATACAATTTTTAACTTAATAGGGTATAAATTATTATTGTAATATTGTTTTTTTATGTAAATAGAATTATTAATTATTGTAGCATGATGTCTTAGTTTATTGGCTCCTTTCTACATTCTCAACTGATCCAGTATAGAATTAATACTAAAATTTCCATAAACTATTTTTTAATAAAGTTAGTAGGTACATTTTTATTCTATAATTTTATTAAAATGTATACAAAATAAGATACTGTATTTATATTCATGTAGTGTTAATGAGCATGTATAAATTAGGTATTTATTAGAAGTCAGTGGTCAAGTGGATCGTGGGAAACTGTTCTGGTGAGTAATAAAAAAATGTACTATACAGGCTAACCATACAAAAATGTACTATACAGGGTCCGGCAATAGTGCGTCGGGCATCTGTAGCTTCTAGAATAAAAAAAAATGGGAATTTTATTTAAGTATAAACCTAAAGTATGTATGAGGATGTATTTCAGAAAAATATTTTAACTTCTAAAAAATGCTCAAAAAAGTGTGTGTGGATCGGGATGATTTTTTTTTAAATGTAACACCCTGTATATTAATGCATTTTTTGCTTCCTTTCAGATCATTTTACATAATCCTAAGATATGAGTAAATATATTTCGACAGTTTCAGAGATGTTAATATGTAAATAAAAAATATATATTTTTCAACCTTCACTAAAGAAATTATTATAAATACAAGAAGTGTCCTGAAATCAAAACTATATTAGGTATTTACTTTAGATGTTATATACTTACTTTGCTACAAATATCGTAATCTTAAATTACACAGGATGTTCAAAATTCTACGCCAAACTTTCTAAAATATAAAATAATTTTTCTTTGTTTTTTCAAATGGACACCCTGTATATTATTTTTTTATTACACGTAGAATTAAAAAATGAACATTTTTGTATTTAAAGTATTTCAAAATTTTTAATGGTTTCGCAGATACACACAGTATTATTTCATATGGCTCTTTCAACGTAAAATACGAGAGAAAAGTCATTGGGTGGCTTTGATAAAAATTTACTGTGGAAAATGCCATATGAAATATAAAACCGCGAATATCTGCTAAACCGTTAAAAATTATGAAATACTCTAAATACAAAAAATGTTCATTTTTATCCATCTATGTGAGAAACTATGAAGCTATAAAATGTTGTTTCGGGAGAGTTGAATATCCGGGAAAGTTGAATTATTGAATGTTATTGCACCCAACAACGCCCTAATTACGATCTCCTTTACGCGTTGACGTTTTTCGGCAATTTTATTAACATTTGAAATTATCACAACACAACACGACGCCGACGCCTAGTTCGAATTCTTTTTCACATATTTTTTACTACCCGAAACAGGCGTTACATCATACAAACCTCGTACCTGAGTGTTTTATAGTCTCAATAACTGCACTAGCAGAAAACTAACATACTTAAATATTATCACAAAACCACGATTTCAATATTATTTTAATGCGATCAACATTACAGCAGCGTGAAATAGGTAGGGATAATTTCTGATTTTTCCCGTTGAAGCGCTGCGGTCGGAATTTGTTGAAATCAACTGAAATGCACCAAGCCTATAGACACCTGAAGTGGGATTCTGTAAGGTCCGTAGTATGGGTAGCAAGACATTTCCTGTCTAGACTGTGCTATTTGTATACGATTGATGAGTCACTAGATAGGAAATAATATATGTTTACAGAACCCAAGGATACTATAGAGATAAGGATAGTTCGATTCCTATCTTCCTGCACTGTCAGTTTTTTACGTCATTTAGGGACCGAGTTGAAGTTGGCGCTAAAGATTTTAGACAGTGACAGTTATTTTTGCTTTTGACGGACGAGCGCACAGTGCGGTGGAAGATAAATTTAGCGGGACAAAACCGTTTGGTTAGAAATAAGCCAATAATTTATACTGACAAGAATAAATAGTAGACATTCCAATTGATATAAAAATGCATGAATATATTCTTTGTATTTCGATACATTTTTATCAACCAAATTTGGTCGTTTTCTGCTCAGCAAGGCAGAGATCATTCGAAAACAAAATATTTACAAGTGCTTATACATTTTATTCCAAAGCCAAATTATGTTTAAGATTGCCAAAGGTATGTACTTTTCTACTGAACGTATATCATTTGTTTAAATCTTTCGTGCCTTTGTTCTGCGGATATCAAACTTTCACTTTTTTTCAAATACCGATATATTGAAAGATGTAGATCTTTTGAGTTACCAATAGTTACCAACACAGGTAGTCACGGTCACAGGGAGTTCAAGCTTAACAGATGAATGCCCAAAAGTTTCATTTCATTCGTCTCGTTAAAGGGTTAATTGAAGAGCATTCAAAAGAAGAATTGGGTTTTGCAAGTACTATGAGCTTTACGGCTAGTGGGAGTAAGAATGCTGCTGTAATTGTTGAAACCTTAACTTAATAAACTAGTAACTTAGTTTAAAAAATGAATAGCTACCCATAAACGGAAAGGCCCGGCCTTCGGACTTGACCTTGTGGCCGGGGCTTTAACCCAAATTACCATAGCGGAAATATATCCGCGGACTTTGCCTTTCACGCAAACCTATGGTATTTTGGGTTAAAGGCCCGGCCTCAAGGCCAAGTCTGAAAGCCGGGCCTTTCCTTGTATGGGCAGCTAATGAATGACACCAATAGTGTGTTCGCCAATTTTCCTCAAGACAAAAACATCTAATGATGTTCTAGTTAAATAAAGCATGACAATATCTTAAAGCCTTTTTTTTACTTTCTGATAATTTCTAATAAATCTAAATGATTGTTACTAGTTTTAATAAAAGTTTAAAAAATTGTCTTAGATACTTACTATATATGAATTTACAATAATTATCGACTGTTAAAATTAAAATTAAAATATTTATCTTATTTATTTTCAAAATAAAATAGAATTTTTTAAAATAAAATATACTGGGTGTCACAAGATTACAAAGTAATTAAAAAATAACTGCTAAAGAGTTTTTTGTAAGTATTTCACCTGATACCATAATTTTATTTATTTGGCAATAGCAAAGGCAATAGGTTACAGTACGGTTTTTGTGTGTCATGTACGAATATGTAGGAGTTTTATTATCTTGTATATTTATGTATTTATTAATAAATTAAGTTGTTAATAAATAAATTTAACTATATGGTGTCAAACATCGCTCCTGAGATTTTGTCCCGCTAGATTAACCATCCGCCGCACTGTGGAGCGCTGGTCCCTGCGTGACGTAAGCATCCACGGTGACTACGACTGCGGCGTTTTGACAGTCCTTTAGAATATATACAGTCCTTGTACAGAACCTATGTTTACGGGCCCTTGTGTCCTTATAAACATACACTACTCAAAACAATTATCTCGTATAATAAATGAAGCATGCATTTTTCTGCGTTATTTTTTCTCGTTTTTCTCGTTATTTTTTAGGATAATTAGGGTACGCACTGACATGTAATTTTCGGCTGACTATTTAGTTACAAAAGTATAAACAATACATTTTAATGGAGCCGATTGGCCCAATATTTGATTGCATTACGTAGCCTAGACTATAAGCTGGCAGGTAATTTTTAATCGGCCGACTATTTAGTTGCGTATTTATAACCAATATTTTCCCATGGAGCCGCGCTCACCTGCAATCAAATAGTCTGCCAATCGGCTCCATAAGTATGTATTGTCCTTGTTTATATATTCTTAAAGTTGCCCAACCGACTAGACAAAATGTGCTGCCAACTGGAGGACAAATCGTGAACCTTTCGAGGCGGAGTCAAAAATATCGATTATTTTCGTTATTTTCCTCAGAGTAATGTAATAATATAGCCCCGGGTTTCTGCGAACTTTAATAGTGATCAGCTGATTAAGAAATTTAAACGAAACTTTTTTTTATAATTTTATTGTAAATTGTGGATTATTTTTGCCTGTTATTTTAAGAATTCTAAACCGTATTAACAAAGAAATTATTATTTCGATATGTTGGTACATTATTTATAATAATTTATGATAATGCTAATGCTGTTAATTAATATTAAAAAAAAGTTACATACCTATTTTAATTTGATTTAATGCAGGTTTATAAAAGAATAATTTCATTCTTAGATTATTTTATTCTAAATCGAGTGCTTTATGAATTTTACGATATTTTTTTTGAAAACATAAAACTTTTTACATTTTCCATGCCAACTAATTGGAATAGTATTATTGGTATGAAAATTTGCCAAGAAAGAAAAGAATTGGCTATAACTTGTAATTTTTCGAAAAAAAACATATTATACCTATATCGCTGACAGGCTTAAAAAATGGCGCTTTTTATGAAGTCATGGCCAACTATGGTTTCCATTTAAAAAAAGATAATGTTTGTGTCATATGTCAAAAATGACAGGCTTTAGAAAAAAAAAAGAAAACACAAACTCATTAGGTATGTGATTATCTACAACTTTTATCTGAAAACTTTTTGTCTAAAATACCGTATGATCGAATAAAAACGGCGTCAGCGATGGCTATGAAATGACGATCGATGATATTTCCCATATAATTTTACATATAAAATGACAGCGATCTTCATTTCATAGCCATCGTTGACGCCGTTTTTATTCGATCATACGGTAGATTATAATGGAATTAGAGAAAAGTTTTAAAATAGCCAAAATTCGTTCTTTTCGAAATATCTAGTAAGCCTTGAACTTCTCCGAAAACTCCGAAAGGCGCATATTTATGACCCCACAAAACTGCAATTATTTTCCCATTTAACCGACTCTCTATCTCCAGTAGTTTCCGAGATACCCATAGAGAACATCGTAGGAAACTCACCCTGTATAGTATATAGAACCTAACTATTATTATTATTTGACTAGATTAATTTGATTAATAAGACTCGATTAATTTAATTTAAAATACATTTGATCAGAGTTTTTTTCCGTATATTCTACTACCAAAAAACCAAAATTATATGATACCTAACGCACTTTTCAACGAAGTTGAAGGAAGATATAGTGTATCTATCACAATACTTAATAGAATTACTACAATTAGAAGAAAAACAAAAAGAAAAAATACCCAAATACCTTCACTTCACCTACTACTCATCTACAAAATAAACTAATCTAAACTCTTATAAAAACACTACACAATTACTTATATTCTACACTGAAAAAATTATCAAACTTACTAATTAATCAAACAAAAAGAAAAAATAACCAAATTATCCCTTCATCTACTACTTAACTACAAAATAATAAACTATAAAAACACTACTAAACTATTTCTGGTATTCTACACTAAACATTATAATTAAACTTAATAAAATTAATCTAATTTTACACTACAACCACTACAACTACAAAGAAATAAGAACATTTTTTAAAACTAAAAGAAACAGAACTTCGATACGTGCAACCAGTATAATAGATCAAGCGGACAAATAATATAAAATACTTTAAAAATGTGCATTCAGAAAGAAAAAATATCTCGAAAATTATCTAAACAAACATTTTTTTTTCTTATCAGTGAAAAGCATCGGCCTCGTCGGCCTTGCGAAATTTGTCGGGTATTTACAATGGTCGAATTGTATAATTACAAGCTTTTATAGCATATCTAATAGATAAAAAGTATCTGGTCGATTAGTAACCAATTGGCACAGTCCGAAAATTATCGATTTTTATTTTCTCTGTTTTTATTGGTCGCTTCAAAATTCAGAGTAACAAAAAATATTTTTCTGTAGTAAAAGACCGTGAAATACGCCCCGCCATCTGGTGCTTTACATCCATAAACGTCTTAGGTTGAGTTACTTTAAAAATTCATATACAAGGGTATTGTTTTCACTTTTGCAACTAAATAGTCGGCCGACTAAAAATTACAGGCCAACGCGTAGGCTTATTGTTTCGAATTTCCCTTCACAGTATCCAAACTATTTAAACCTGTAAACCAGGGAATTCAAAGTGTCTTGTTTTTCAAATTAATATTTTTTTTTTAGAAAATATGCGATAATTGTTTTGAGTAGTTTATATTATCTTATAGTAGTTGATATCATATAGTAGTAGCCATAGATTTTTTTAAAAATACTGGCTTTTTACTTAAAACGTTCCAGTTTTAGGTAGGTAAGTTATACTTCTTTATATTAATAAATAAAATGGATGGGGACAAAACCAATATGAAAGGAGGGTTATAAATAAATAGAGATTATCTTCTAGATACTTTTATTAATACTTTAACAATGTTGAAGCTATACAGATGCAAAATAGATAAAAATAGTTTAGATTTATCGATATTTTTCTTTTTTGATATATATTTGATTTTTAATTTCATAAGAAGTCTTCAAACATTAGAATTACTCGAATATACACAATAGTTGTGGGCAATCTATATAGGAAAAACTTTAATATAATTAAGGCCAAAGTTTATATTTACAGAAAATAATTAAATTTTCATGAAAATCACACGATATTCACTATTCCATAAATATATGCATTCTTATTTAAATTGTACTTGCCATACAGTTTATTCTTATTGAGCTGAAAATGTGTTATTAATAAAATATGGAAATAATGGTTATTCAATCTATGAAAAAATTGAGATGATTGATATTTGATATATAGTTTAAGCTCCCAGCATCTTCTTGACGGTGTAGCCGGGAATAGAATAGAAAAACAATAAAATGATTATTGCTACGCCGAGTATTATGAGCAGTTTTAGAATTGTCCATTTGTAGTTATGCCACAAGATGTATCGAATTGATTTGATGGGGTTCATGAACCACATAAAGGATGAATCAGGTCGACTGCAAAAGAATTTATTATGTAAAAATACCAATGGATAAAAAAACGGCGTCAGAGTTGGATCGAAAATGAGAATCACAAGCATTTTAAATGTAAAATTATATGGCGAATGTGTGTGTGTTATTAATAATAGTCGTTATTCCAAGCCAACTTGACGCTGTTTTCATTTGATGATATTATATAGGTTCATAACCGATATACCGGGTGCGCCTCAAAAGTGGCTCACGCCATAACTTTTATATTTTTTCAGATAAAAAAAACTATGGTATTTTTTTACTTCACTTGATAGAAAATGACATTGTGAATAGAATGACATAGTATGTCAACTTTTGACATTTTCGATTAAAAAAATAACATTTTAAATTTTAATTTAGTGTGCCATGGCCATAAATGAAAAGACAATTTGACTCGAAATACAAAGTGTGTGGTACCAAATTATTCGTAATTTTTTTTTATCTAATATGCAATGGGCCACCCTCGTTTCATGTGAAAAAAATTAGATATGATTAAAAATACGATTGAGCATCTTTTAACAGGCCAGGACAAGCCACGAACAACATTAGACGATCAAATCTATTTTTCCAAGGCTCTTTGATTAAAAATTAGTGTTTTTAACACAGCTATGGCACTCTAGATTGAAATGTAAAATACGATTTTTTATGCGAGAATATCAAAAGTTAACATTTGATATGGTATTCTATTCAGAGTGTCATTTTCTACCGAATAAAGTAAAAAAATACCGAGGGTGCCCAAAGTGGAAGTGACCAAAAACAATTGAATACGTCAATAAATCCTAATTTCTGTCATATACTAACATACCAAATCTCGTTTTTTAACTGAAAAAAAATAAAAAAGATATAGGGGTGAGCCACTTTTGAGGCGCACCCAATAGGTTCATTATCTGTATATGGGTTCATTTTTATTTGTTAATGTTAGTGGTTTATTTTGTTAGGTTAGTGACTAGGTTAGTGACATTTTTTATAGCATTGAGACTAGCATTTTTTTAACTGGTGCACTGTTACCAGCGAAATTGGTTTCATACAGCTATATTAGTAACTAGATTGACTAAGAAGTGAATAACAAAATAGTTAAAAAGTCGAAATTCCCTATTTTATATAGTCATTGGGTTTAGGATCCATTGAAACCAATGTCTCAGAAGCTTTTTATATTAACAGAATTTTAACCAAAAATCATAAATACTTAATCTTTCAAAAATTGGCAGAATAAAAAAAAATTAAAATAAATTATAAAAAATGTCTATATGGCGGATTCATCTATCCAAAAAAATCCTTTATGGGTATTTTGCCACTGCACTGCAAGAAAAATCTAGAAAATAAAATAGTTATTTTTTCTAAACACTTCTGCATTAAACCTAAACGGACGCTGCTTGTCAGGAGTTGTGTTTACAGTTATAAAAATTTGCCTAACAAAGAAAAAAATGCTTAACGTTTCCGAAAGTTTTCTCTTTCCGTCGACGGAAGCAAAAAATATAAAGAATCAAGAAAAAAACGATTTAAAATATTTAAATTGAACCATTCGAGAACACTTTACTTTTTAAAACAGATACATCTACAAGAAATTGTTGACGTTCTGTTAAAATGACATTATATTAAGTTAAACTTCAAAATTAACAATTACTACCTGATAACAATTACTTAATAAGGTAAAACCAAAAAGCCCAAACTTTCTATATGATTATTTTTGAATTTTACGTATGTTATGTTTATTTATGTTATGTTCTTTAAAATCAAAGAAGCGATTGCCATACATTACTAACATCTACAGATGCATGAGCAATACATTTATTTTTATTAGATTGTATTAAAAAAGCCTCTTTTATTTTTCTTTTAGAGGCTATCGCTTCTTTCATTATAATTTTGGTGTTATTAAAATTTATTCTGTGCCCTGTGTCCCAAGAATGCTGACAAATCTTAGATTTGTGAAAATGTCCATTTCTTAAATAATCTTTATGTTCTTTAATTCTAACATTTAAGGGTCTAGATGTTTCACCAATGTAAAATTTATCGCATTCACAGGGTATTTGGTATATTATATTTTTTGTTTGTTGTTCTGTATTTATTGGTTTAGTATCCTCTCTTAGCCTCTAAATGAAAAATAAAAGAGGCTCTTTTAATACAATCTAATAAAAATAAATGTATTGCTCATGCATCTGTAGATGTTAGTAATGTATGGCAATCGCTTCTTTGATTTTAAAGAACATAACATAAATAAACATAACATACGTAAAATTTAAAAATAATCATACAGAAAGTTTGGGCTTTTTGGTTTTACCTTATTAAGTAATGGTTATCAGGTAGTAATTGTTAATTTTGAAGTTTAACTTAATATAATGTCATTTTAACAGAACGTCAACGATTTCTTGTAGACGTATCTGTTTGAAACGTAAAGTGTTCTCGAATAGTTCAATTTAAATATTTTAAATAGTTTTTTTCTTGATTCTTTATATTTTTTTGCTTCCGACGACGGAAAGAGAAAACTTTCCGAAACGTTAAGCATTTTTTTCTTTGTTAGGCAAATTTTTATAACTGTAAACACAACTTCTGACAAGCAGCGTCCGTTTAGGTTTAACGTAGAAGTGTTTACAAAAAATAACTATTTTATTTTGTAGATTTTTCTTGCAGTGCAGTGGCGAAATACCCATAAAGGATTTTTTTGGATAAAATAAATTATCTTCTGATAATCTGATAAACTGTAATTAGAAGAAATCAGTTTGATTTTTGTCATTTTTTCGTTTTTTTTTCTAGTTTGTTTTTCTTTAGATTCACTATCTATGTCTTTTATTTGATGTTTATATTATAAAATTTCTATAACAATTTTTAAGTTAACAGAGTATATTTTTATGAGAAGTTTTTATTGTAAAATAGATTTTACAAGTTAATGAAATTTTAATTGTAGTATGCTGTTGATAAAATATGATGATGTGTTTAAGTATGTCAGTTCAAATCAAATACAGGCTTGTAAGAAGAAAAAAAAACATAGTTAAACATATTTTTTATGACAGATGGCTGAACTTTTAAATATGACATCTACTTTTCATTCACAAACAACTTTTTTATACAGTTAAGAGCGAATTTTATATTTTTGAAGATCTCTCGTATACAAAATGATATACTTCACTATTGACTAATTTATTTGGAGCTTCACAGGATACAGATTCTTTTATAAAGAATAAAAATTCTAGTTAATTTAAAGTAACTTTTGTTCGTATCTGTCCAGTATTAGATTATGGTTTTTAACTGGATTATCTTGTCTGTGCAGGTGTACGAGTATAATTAAAGTAGCCATATAATCAGACAATTGCACATGGGTAGATGAATAATCGTCCCTCATCTATCTTATCAATTAATTTTATTAAATCTTACTTGGGTTTTTCCAAAGGGTCAGGTTCGTTTCTTCCCAACCCTACTGGTACTTTCTCCGCTTCTTCTTTGGTTAACAAATGAATCTCTGCTTCGACTTTGCCGGTTAGTTCCATTTCTTCATTGTCTTTTTTCACATAAAATGGCCACCAACCTTTAATGTAACGAATATAACACGTATGCGGAGTTATTACTATTTAAATATTTTACCTTTTACTCGTTTTTGTTTAAAAATATTCACTACAGGTACTGATTCGTCCGATTTCAACATATCTAACGCACAAAGTTTTGATGATTTTGCTCCACGTGGAAATCTGTTAAGATCTAGTGTTACTGCCCCTGAAAAATAGAAATATTGTTTGTATACCTTTATAAAGTATGTCTCCGGATCGTCTTTATAAGAGAAAACACTTTTTTATTAACTAGGTACACTTTGAAGAGAAATGCATTCTTCATAAAAAAATGCTTATTCTAAAATAGCTAGTGCTGTTTATACTTTTCCGAATTTCCATACCGTTTTAAAGAAAAATGCAGAAAAGAAATGGTTGATTTTTTTTAGGAAGAATATATTTTTTAGAAGATATACCGGGTGCGTCTCAAAAGTGGCTCACCTTTATAACTTTTATTTTTTCAGATAAAAAAACGAGATTTGGTATGTTAGTATATAATATAAATTAGAACTGACTGACTTATTCAATTGTTTTTGGTCACTTCCTGTTTCACCGGAAATGACCTCAACTTTTGATTTTTAAATGGAACCCTCGCTTCATAAAAACACTAATTCTTAATCAAGGAGCTTTGGAAAACTCGATTTGATCGTCTAATGTTTTTATTTAGTGTCTTTATCGTCTAATGTTTTTAGTCCTGGCCAGTTAGAAAATGCTCAAATCGTATTTTTAATCATATCTTAATTTGTAGCGACCATACCAACAGGTATGGTAGGCTATTAAGATAGGCAAAAAAAGTTTTTTTAATTTCACTCAAAATGAGTTATTTGGGTCATAAATGACCTAAATACAAAATATTTTCATGGTGTCTGTCTGTCCGTCTGTCTGTAACACGATAACTCAAAATCTGGTGGGGGTGGGGGGTATGGGAGGGGGTTAAAATTTTAAAAAATCGTAGCTCCAAAATTACAGCTAGCGAAACGCGGTTTTCAATTTAAGATTATGAATAATATTTGCAACAAAATTTATAATAACATCAAAATCAGTCAAAGTCGTAGTTTTTGAGATAAAAAAAATTGGAAAATTTCCTTTACTTTGAAACTAAAAGAAGTGCCCACCAACTTTTTATTAACATATTTCAGTATGGGCGGCTATACGTGCCTCCCGGCGGCCAATTTTTTCAAATGGAACGAGGGTGGCTTATTAGGTATTTCGAGTCAAATTTTCGTTACGAACCGCAAGTTATAATTTCAAATAAACCATATGCGAAAATGTCAAAAGTTGACATATGATATATCATTCTATTCAGAATGTTATTTTCCATCGAATGAAGTAAAAAAATATCGAGGGTGCCATTTAAAAATGAAAAGTTGTACTCATTTCCGTTGAAACAGAAAGTGACCGAAACCAATTGAATACGCCAATTAATCTTAATTCATGTCATATACTAACATACCAAATCTCGTTCTTTTAATTGAAGAAATAAAAAAGTTATAGGGGTGAGCTACTTTTGAGAGGTACATGGTATAGAAGGTATAAATATAATTAACCATAATAGACGACACAAAACTTTAATAAAGAATGCATTTTACTCAAAAAGTTAATAATAAAAAGTGCTCTTCTAAAGATGATCTGGGGACATACTGTAGACAATGTGATTTAATGCTCTGAAAATGCTTCATCTTCATGTCAGGTTTTCTCTCGGGTTTTCTGTATACTTGTATTTATTTTTACCTAAGAAATCATCAGCTGAGAAATGGTCAGCGTCCCACACTTGCAGTTCCAATCGAGCGGGTATTTTACATTCAGTTTCGTCCCAGGAGAATAGCGACTCTTTGCGCGATATCACAATTTTTTGTTCAGCTACTAAGTACTCAAACGGGAAAATATACCTCCAGTTAAAATTTCCCTCCCCCGTAAGAGATCTGTAATGAATGTCCGTAGCTTGACAGTCTTCTGGACCTTTGAGCCACCTAAAATAGAGTACATTATTATTTTAGATTTTCATACATGGTGACCCTGTGACCTACAAAATATCTATATTATACAGGGTTGTTCACCACATACGACACGGAGTATTGTAGCTAAACGATTAGATTTTTACAAATTTTAATTTTTGGGTTCATTGAAGGACTATTAGAGCTACAATTTAGAAATAATTTTACAAGATACAGAGTGTCCCAAATAAGTAAAAAACGCTATAGTTGTATTTTTTTTAAACGGAACACCCTGTATATTATTCTATTTTTAGATTCGACGATTGAAATAAAGGTAAATTTTATTAAGGTTTATCACACTCAAATCTTGCCGTTTTTGAAATATTTTCAATTTTGTGAAATTGCAGTAAAAATTTTAAGGCTTCATTTCTCCAAGGGTATCACAGTTTTTAATACTAAATATTTACTGAAGTTTATTTATTGATCAGTTATTGTGTTGCAATAATAAAAATTATACTACCTTATACAGAGTGTCTAAAATTTTATTTTAAATAATTACTAGCTTTAAACGGCAATAACTTGTTTTGGAATGCCCTGTATATTTTAGGAGAATCAGATGCATAATTTAATTGTCTATCAAATTGTATTATACCAGTTTTTACCTATCCCTTCAAGTTTTCGTAGAAAATGCATTTTCTTATAATTTAGACCTGATTTATGAATATACCTATGGAATATTGACATTTTAGATTGTTTTTAAAGCAACAAATGTACAAAATGTACAGGCTAGTAATATTATCGTTTTTAACAAAATGATAATATTACTAGCCCATTTGTATGCAAAAAGAAAACTATTTAAATCTTCATAAAAGAGTATACCATTAATTAAATATACCACCATTATTTCCGCCCAAATACTAATTAATTACATACTTAATTATGTTCGTGAATAGATTATTCTAAATAAATGCGGATTTGAATCAGAAATCAATATAATAATAAGTTATAAAAATGAATGTCTCTGTTGTTACAAATAAGCATTTCTCAAAAAATGAAATATTATTTTTAAGGTGTTACTTGTTACCACACTGCCTAATACAAATAGAAAATTCAGTTTTTTAGTTTTTGGAGCAATTATTAATCAACGCAAACAGTCAATTAATGTAGTTTAAATACTGGAATCATATTAATTGGTCCTCTTTAACAAATATTTAAACAGTTTTTTTATTTTTTAATGAAATAAACAAACTATATCGACAATATTAGTATCTGTACTCTTTAAAAATTTGGTACATCTTTAAAAATAATCTAAAATGTCAGTATTCCATGGGTATATTGATAAATGAATTTAAAATTACAAGAAAATTCATTTTCTACGGAAACTTGAAGCTATACGTAAAAAATAGTATAATACAATTTGATAGACAATTAAATTGTGCATCTGATTCTCATAAAATATACAGGGTGTTCTATTTAAATTAAACAAGTTATTGCCGTTTAAAGCTAGTAATTATTTAAAATAAATTTTTAGACACTCTGTATAAGGTAGTATAATTTTTATTATTGCAGCACAATAACTGATCAATAAATAAACTTCAGTAAATATTTAGTATTAAAAACTTTGATACCCTTGGAGAAATGAAGCCTTAAAATTTTGATTGCAATTTCACAAAATTGAAAATATTTCAAAAACGGTAAGGTTTAAGTGTAATAAATCTTTATCAAATTTACCTTTATTTTAATCGTAGAACCTAAAAATGTAATAATATACAGGGTGTTCCGTTTAAAAAATACAACTTTGATATTTTTTATTTATTTGGGACACCCTGTATCTTGAAAAAATATTTTTAAATTGTAGCTCTAATAGTCCTTCAACGAACCCAAAACTTACAATTTGTAAAAATCTAATCGTTTAGCTACAATACTCCGTGTCGTATGTGGTGAACAACCCTGTATGCAATCAGGTTTCATCTACGAGAAAAAAAAATCTACTTTTTAGTAGTGTACATTTTATTTTTGTTTAAATATTTTTAAACACTTTAAATATTCAGCGCAATGAGATTAAAATTAACCTAATTGATGCAGCGTGATTAAAACTTACACTTGATTGCCCCCTCCGCCCTTAGGTTTGACTGACTGACGCGCCCTAGTGAAGTCGCAAACAAGGGCGTAGACAAGGGGGGGGGGGTACTGGGGGACAGTACCCCCCCCTGACGCTTGACGAGATACGAGAATTGAAATAGTCATTGACTATGGAAGGATTTTTTTTAATTAATATCCGACATATAAGAACACTTTGTATGCTTTTAATTATGTTGATTTATCGTTTATAATATGTTCGACCCATAGACTTAAAATAAAATATAGACTACACTATTTACATCTCAACGCGGACAAACAACCTTTTTTGTACACATGTTTACTTCTGGGTACAGTCGACCGAGCCTTCCTCATCCAGCCTATGTTGTCACGTCTTTAATATTATCAATATTTTTTTTCTTGTTATACACATATATTGAGATATTAATACTACAGTTTAATAAAGTAGGTTTTAATATTCCAGAGATGTATTAAATAGTCCTTATACTACTAAATTATAAGTCGGATACTGTTTAAAAAGGATAAGTTCTTTACAATATGACAACACCGATTAGAGGCGAGGGAGCCTATTCATTCATTTATTACCTTGTAGTACGTGTCGCACGTGTGCGGTAAAGCTTTGTTGCCGCTATCTCCCCGGCTGTATTAACGCATTTTCTTAGCTTGTAGTGCTTAAGTGTTTATTTTATTGACTTTTTCTGTTCAAGAACTATAAAATATGGTTCGCCAGTGCCAAATTTGCAAGAAATTTGACTTAAATAATCCATTTAAGTCTTGAAACGACTTTTGACCGGTAGGCAACTCTCAATTTACCCATTGGGAGTCAGTGGCGTTGTTGTAGAAAGGCGCTTATTTAGATAATATTTTAGTAAAATGTAAAATCTGAATTTTTTCTCTTACATTACATTATTTACTTACTTACATTGTAACAAAATCATAATTATAACCCTGTTAATAATTAATTATGTTTTTATTAAAAATATATTCCGGTTTATTCTAAAATTATCTTCAGAATCTAAAATAACGTACAAGAATTTTAAAATGATATTACATTATGAAACAATATTTTTTAATATACCGGGTCGTCTCAAAAGTGTATAACAACCAATAACCCTCAACCCTATAACTTTTTTTATTTTTTCAGATAAAAAAACAGATTTGTATGTTAGTAGGTATATGACATAAATTAGGATTTATTGACGTATGCAATTGTTTTTGGTCTCTTCCTGTTTCACCGAAATGATTACATCTTTTGATTTTTAAAGGCACCCTCGGTATATTGCTACTTTATTCGATAAAAAATGACACTCTGAATAGAATGACTTATCATATGTCAACTTTTGACATTGTCGCTTAAAAACATATCCTATTTTAAATTTCAATCCAGTTTTTTTCAATCCACTAAGTTTTAATCAAGGAGCCTTGGAAATATAGTTTTGATCGTCTAATAGGTTTCGTGTCTTGTCTAGGCCGGTTAAAAGATGTACAAATCGTATTTTTAATCATACATATGTCAATTTTTCAAATGGAACAAGGGTGACTCATTAGCATATTTGGAAAAAGCATTTTTTATGAATATATTGATACCACACACTTGGTATTTCGAGTCAAATTGTCGTTATGAACCGCGTGTTACAATTACAATTAAACCATATGCGAAAATGTCAAAAGTTGACATATGATATGTCATTCTATTCAGAGTGTCATTTTCTATCGAATAAAGTAGAAATATACCGAGGGTGCCGTTTAAAAATTAAAAGTTATAGTCATTTCCGGTGAAACAAGAAGTGACCAAAAACAATTGAATGCGTCAATCAATCCAAATTTATTTCATATACTAACATACTAAATCTTGTTTTTTTATTTGAAAATATAAAAAAATTATGGGGATGAGCCACTTTTGAGACGCACCCGGTATAATAAAGATAGTACCGAGTTAAATAAATGTAGTTTTTATTTTATCCACTTCCTATCACCTTCCTTGCTTTAATGGAACAGATTTATGTTTTCTCTAATTTACATAATAAGACATCACTTAACCAGAAAAAAAATTACAACAATCATATTTTTTTTTCTCTCCCTGTCGCCGATTCTATTATATCTGTGGAATAGATCCTGTTTTGATTAATATTGGGGGTTGTAAATGTTTGACTAAAATTAATAATTTATTATTAATTTCAAAAATTACCTAATTTCGATTATAAAATTTCTTCTATAACGTGTATTTTATTATTTTTATCCTTTTTGGACTCTAAATTGTTTTTTCTAAACTTTTATTTAAAAAAAACCTGTCCTAAATCTTAATAAAATATAAAAAGTTTAAATACGATATATTTTTAATTTAACTATAGCTTCATTAAAATAAAAAAATTACCCGGCTATGATACGGAGAGTTCAGGTGTACTTGAGAAACGAAAGACAGTGTTTTGTTTCTCGGCAGAGTCGTCAGGGAACGACCGTTACGACAGAGACAACCTATCTATCGCTCGTGTCGCACTCGTTATAACCTAAAACAATAACAAAACAATAACAAGACAGTGTCTGACCGCATGTTCCAGCTATTTATGAATGAGATGCTCAGTCTATATTTTATTTTAAGTCTATGGTTCGACCTTATTAAAAGCATACAAAGTGTTCTTATTGGCCAGGACAGATTAGTGGGGTTAACTCTAATCAATATCCATAAAGATATTGAAATAAATGTTGATGCTGTTATTGATAGGTTTTCCAAACAGCGTACTAGAAAACTTGATTTTGTTTTGTAGTTTTATTTATAGTTTATAGTTTTTATAGTTTTTTTTGATAGTTTAGAGTTTTTATTTATAGTTTATAGAAAATTAACTAATAAACGTCGTTGTTTCATTGTTGTTTATGTTATTTACAAATCTATATTTTAATTTTTTTGTTATGTTTTTATATATTTTTGAAGACAAAAAAATCGCCGTCGTTTTAATTCGACAAAAAAATTCCGACGGTGATTTTTTTGCGGCTTAATCATAGTACCACCCCCATAGCATACACCTATCTACGCCCCTGGTCGCAAAATTGTACATACAATCTAACTATTCTCATTCTACGATCACGTTATGGTGTAGTTTGCATTTTCGACATTTTCTTGATCAACACTACTTCTTGTAAGAGCGGTTGGCAACGTTGCTTTGTCCAGTCGAATTTCGCGCCTTTAATCCATTATGATAAGTTATTAAACAAACTTAAGTCTGTAAAAATAAGACGTTTAAAATTTTAATTAAGTAGATAGTTTTGTTTTTTGTTCGTATTTTCCCTAGTAGTACAGTATTGTAATAATGTATGAATAAATACATCCCAATACAACCCCTATAATCCGAAGTACTGTATAATCCTATAATCCAAGCGCCCCAATCGTGTAAAATGAACCATAATCTGAACACCTTCAATTCGGCAATTTGAATTACTCTGCATGTACCCGCCGCCCTCAACATAGCTTGCCCACCCCGCCTTTTTACCCACGGCACGCTAATGCTGAAACAACAGTTCCTAAAATGATAATGATATGTGAAATAGGTGGAAAGAGAAGGAGGGGGAAACGGAGAATCAGATGGAAGGGAGATGTTGAAGAGGACTTAAAGGTAAAAGTTAATGGGTGGAGAATAAAGGTGAAGGATAGAAACAAGCCTTTTAGGCTTTTAGAGCTAGTTTATATATAACTTTAGTGTGAAAAAAAGTTTGAATTACCCTGTGTACTAACTTTAAAAAATATTTTAAAATAAGTGCAGTGTGCGTTTTTTTAAATAAGTTGATAATAAAATCTCAATTATGAAACACGATCTGGAACTTTTCCCGAAGAGTGTTATTCTTATGTCGAAATCTTCTCTAACTCGTTGGGAAGACTATAAAATACTGTATGATAAAAAAAACGGCGTCAGCGATGGCTATGAAATGAATATCGCTGTCATTTTATAAGTAAACTAGCGTGTACCCAGAGAGAACACTAATAACTAAAGTGAGAGGGCTTGTAGAATAGGGCATTTCGTAGATTTAGATTTAGTTTTTAGTTTATTTTGTCACCGCGCATCCCAGACACGTATAGCGTTTAGGCGGTCAAAAAAGGAAGTTTTCAACTTTGCAAGTTAAACATTTGACAGGATTAATTAGATTGTCAGTAGCTTATTCTATTTCTTCGCTCTAGAAGGAGATAACTAAAATCTGTTGATAATCGGAGTAATAAATTGTTTTTGACTGAATGTACCTGTTTACCCTTTTAGCTTGTGAGAAAAGAAGACTATTGTGTCGGAAAAACAAGTATTTTAAGACGTCTGGCTCTTTGATATATCTTTTACTATGCTCTCTAGAACAGCATGCGGCGCGTCTGGCTGCCGGTAAACGTTGCGTTCTCTACTGCGCATGGAAAGGAGATTCTATATTTTATTAGTCATTTAAATTCTAATATTGAATATAAACCGACCGAGTCTCCATAACTCAATGCGTAGAGTTTCAGACCACGAACCGAGGAGTCAGAGTTCGAATCCGGGTCAGGACAAAACCTTTTTTATTTTATTTTCGATTATATTCTGATAGTAAAGTATTAAATATTTGTTTTTTTTTGAATCACCAGAATTATTTCAAAAATTATTATATATTATTATTTATATTAGCCTTATTAGGTATTTGAAAATAGTTACCGAGATAAAACTTACCTTTAAAGGAAACGTTTTGTCTGGATCTCAACGACAAAACAAAAATTTAAAAAATGCCGAATAATCGTGGAATCTCAAATAATCAATAATGACAATCATATTGACGTTGCTAGCTCTAGTCGTACATTGCTAATTTACAAATTTACATAGGTAAGCATAACCTATGGGATAAATCCGATTGTAAAAGTAAAACATCACATTCTTTTCTGGTACCTATGGAATGACTAGGTATTATACCTGGTATTATTACCAGTAATACAAATTATTTTTTTCAACTGATAGGTTCTTGTTATAGAATAAAGACTATCAAAAACATTGAATACCTACGGGATACCTACTGATACTTTGTGCGAGCTCCCAACCGTGCTTCCCTGTTTACTCCCAACCAAGTTAGATAAAAAAGATATTGAAGATTGCAGCCTTGAGTTGGAGTATGGCAAGAAGTATGGGCTTCACTACGACATGTACAGAAACGGATTACCTAAACTGGTAAGCATGTAAAATTAAACCTTAATGAAAAATTGAACTTATTTATTTTTAGTTCAAGAAAAAGCATGACAATCCACAACCCACCAAAAACCTGGTAAATGAATTCTGCAAAAACTGAAAACCAAACTGAGTTAAATAAATTATTATGTTCCTACATAGTATTTTATTTATAGGTTTTAATGCTTTAAAGTCTCATAATAAATTTTCGTTGTCAACAAAATAATCTAAAAAAACTACGAAGATTTCTTATTATAAACTTGAAAGATTAAGATTCGGTTGAAATACACAAATTTTAAATTTTTGGCGCCAGTATATAGGTATGAATGCAACCTACTATATCGATAATGCGCTCATAGTTCGGGTTAGACGCCAAAGGCCGCGCCACTAACACAGTCTTCAAAAATTAACGTTGATCGGTCTCTCTCACTTTAGTTATTAGTGTTCTCTCTGCGTGTACCCGCGACTTCGTTCGCGTCGAATTAATAATCGTTTTTTAAATAAAAAATATTGTAATATTTGAGGGGTGGTTTCACCCTCTTGGAACTGGAATTTCGAAAAATCCCTTCTTATCGAACCTCTACACCCTAGAATCAACCTGTATGCCAAAATTGAGCTTCTTACGTTGAGTGGTTTGAGCAGGATTGTGATTAATCAGTGAGTCACTTAAGGATTTTATATATTAGTATAGATTTATATGGGAAATGTCGTCGATCGTCCCTCCCCAGCCAACTGGACGCTGTTTTTTTTTCGATCGTACGGTATTTGACTCTTACCCTTTAACGTAAATATCTGACATTTTTTCACCAGTGAAAAAAGCATCATCTTCCAACACTACTTCGTCAGTGTTCCATATGATTACCCTCAGTTCATAACTTTTGGGTTTTCTCGGTGATATATCCAAAGGCGGACCTGGCAGAGGCATGTCCATAGGAAACATATCCACCCACATTTCCAGTTTTCCTTGTTCAATCCCAGGTTTATCTGGGTTATACAGCGGTCTCGTTTCAACATGTTCCGGTACTAGATGACATCCGACTTTAGGTATCTCGTGCCATCTATAATATTTGATTTCAGCTGTTTCCTAATTATTTAAGGCTGTATTCCGTTGCAAAACCAGGCGAACCAGACCGGTAAATTACGGTAAAAAGCGGTTCTTGAAAAACATCGGTTTGATACGGAACGGTTTGGTAAAATATTGAAAACGTCAAATGTTGACGTTTTCTAAATTTCAATACCTCTATAATAAAATTTATCTTTTATGCATTTTTAATGTACCTATTCTCTGCTTTTACGTTTTCTTCTTCTTTTCAATGGAGTTTAATATTGAAAAGTACTTTATTAATAAACTGTTAAACTCGTTAGACAGCTCAAGTGAAGATTTGCAGGTCCAATATTAAAACAGGTCAATAATAAATAAACAAATCTAATCAATATTTATATTTTTATAGCTTACAAAACATTCACGATTACTTGTTGTCTTGTTTTTCATGTTTTCTTTAAATACTCCTGACTTTAAGAAACAATGGCTGTATGATAAGTTTAAATGGTCCTAAAAAGTCATTCTATTTAGTTAATGAAATTTATTTACCTTTACTGCCATACTTCCATTGCTTTTCGATGTAAATACAAAATATTATTACAAATTTTAGAAATTAAATGAGAATTTCACTCGAACTTCCAATATTTGCTTGATTTCTGTCACATAAATGACACTGATTGACAAACAAAACCAGAAAAACCAGCCTTCTCGCGCTGGTTAGTTTGGTGACAGTTATAACCGAATTTTCCAGGAACCGTGTTCCGTAATAAGAAAACTTTCAGGAAAGCGATAGAAACGGAACATAAAACCATAACCAAGGTAAGCAACGGAATACACTCTAAGTGAAATTATATTTACCGGTGTATGACGGCTAAAGCCATGTGTTCTTCTGCCTCTCTAAACTTGTAAAACTCCATGTCTTCCGTTTGAATGGTGAAGAACTGACTTCCAACTTTGACTTGACCGTCACTATATACAGGGGTTTCGATTTTAGCGTCTTTACAAAGTTTCGCTAAAATTTGTGTAGGTTTCATGGCGTCCCTCCAAGCATTGTATCCATGCCTTGAACGGAAAAAAATAAGCAACTTTTAATAAGTTAAAAATATAAGAGGGATTTTAATTGAAAGTATTTTGAGAATATAAATGCCTCTAACACATAGACATCACAAATATGAAAATATTTTTTTTAATGTAAACGACAATACCAAATGTCTCAAGAAACATAATCGCATTAAAATTATTTTAAAAGGGTAAATTAAATAATAAATAACTACTAACTGCGTTATACAAGGTGTTTCAAAAAACATGTACCATCTCTCGTGGGGAGATACCTCACGCAAAAATAAGATTTATTTCACATATCAATATATAGGTCCGATTCTGCTTTGTCTTAATAATTTTTCGCTTTTGTATAATTCTCTTCCAAGTAGTTTTAGTGATTTGAATGCATTTTTGAGGGTAAAAATTACTATAAGTGTTACATATTTTAATGCCAAAAAAGTGTCGATAAATTCGTCAGGGACGTTCATATGGGTTATCACTGGAATATTTTCCAAAAAAAAACATGTGCGCCACTGACTTTTTTTCTTTTCATATCAAAATTGTGTAGGCTGTTTAATTTCAATTAAAAGTTATCTCTTGATATTTTGTCGAATTCGGCCTTCTTGATGAGATTAACGCAATTTTATTAATCACAATTAATAAAATTAAAATATAAATAAAATTAATAAATTATATATTTTACCTAATTTATTATTAAATATTAGTACTATTGGTTATTATTACTATTAGTCCAACATACAGCAATTCCAAACAAAAAATTATGGTATTTAATATAATAATTACAAAAAAACCTAATTTTAAAAAGTTCTACATCCTCTAACTCTAAAACTATGCATTTCCGTAACCATGTTTATACGAACTTTTTTTCATATTTTTTGATGAGGAATCAATGAGTACTTATTTAAAACTTTCGCAAGTTAATAATATTAAATTTTTTTAAAGGTTGCTATTATATTAGACTTGAATCAAGGCAAATTAATAAAATTGCGTTTATCTCATCAAGGAGGCGGAAATCGACAAAATATCAAGAGACAACTTATAATCAGCATTAAACTACCTATATTATTTCGCTGACAAGAGAAAAAAAGTTAGTGGCATACATGCTTTTTTTAGAGAAATATTCCAGTGATAACCCATATGCACGTCCCTGGCGAATATGGCGACACTTTTTTAGCCTTAAAATATATCGCATTTATAGTAATTTTTACCCTCAAAATTTCATTCGAAACGCTAAAAGTACTTGGAAGAACAGTATAATAAACCGAAAAAATATTAAGACTTTAACACCCTGTAGCTAGGAAACAAAGCAGAATCGGACCTATGTTGATATGAAAAAGAAATATTATTTTTACGTGGGGAATCTTCCCACGTGAGATGGCACATGTTTTTTTGAAACACCCTGTATATTATATACTATACTATTCTATAATCATCAATTAAATGGTATGTATCTATTTAAAACAAATATCAACGCGGAAAATGGCTAATTCCCTGCGAAATAAAAATAATAATTTCGTTTTTGCCCACAAAGGTAAAAAATATCTAAAATATCTATTACCTATTTCTATAAAATTATAATTAACTTACTCCTCAAACTTCTCTGGAAGGCCACACGTTGCTCTATGTTTACTGTAAAACCTATTTTCCAAGTCAATTTTTGTCTCGCCAACCATATCGTCCGATCCTACCAAGTCCCAATCAAAAATTTGCACTGTTAATAAAGAATCCTGAGGAAATGTAGCTTCGATTTCGAAACACCTAAAAGATTACATTTATCTTTTTTAGAATCACTCTATATTGAAATACTTACTTTCCAAACACTGGATTTAGTTGTTTAGATATGTAGTTTTCTTTGTCACTTATTCTTTTCGAACCTAGTTGCAACACAACATATGGGTCGGCTTTTCCATTTAAATCCATAGGATGTAAATCGTTTGCCTTTACAATATAAACTCGCACCAGAACTCTGATAGGATCGTTGGAAGGAATGCCTTGAAAGAATCCAAACTGTGGATCAAAGCCCATGATTGTCTTGTCCTCAATGTCTTTTGGTAGAGGCCATTTGTACACTTTTATTGCTCCCTGAAAAATAATACTTATGTAGAAATGCAAAACATCACAACATTTTTTTTACTTTAAAATGTCCTACGACTCTGCTTTCGTCATCAGAATCTTCTCCAGTCTTTTTGCCTCTATACAATTCGAATGTGTGCAACCATTCTTTGAATTCTTCAAATTCTGGAAGTGCTTCTAACTCAGTAGGATACACCTAAAAGTAAACATAATATTTATATAGTAAGGACCAGCAAATGTTAGTCTTGGGTCGAGATTTCCGTATGTAAGAAGAGTACAATGTGTTTATTAATGTACTGAACAGAGAGAGAACAGTAAAAATGTTGCCAAACGTATGAAATAAACCGAGAAACTGTGCACATTGCTGAGAGATGTGAAAGGGGATTTGTCGTGGTCGACCCAATCACTTAAAACTCTCGAGAAGAGTGTACATCATGCGTTTAGCTTCACGATTTATTACGTTTCGTGGTACTTTATTTGTTTAATTATTAACGAGTCATTGTAATTTTCTTTCAAATAAAAAACACTTGCAGTTTTGCTAAAAAGAAGTGGAATTGAGTTGGTGTTCGACAGTGGTCGCGCTATTAGAACTCAAAAATCGATATCTCGAAATCCATTAGAAGTAATTGATTGTAGTTTTTTCCAAAAACTTTCTTAATATTTCTGCTATATTTTCTTCGCAGACAGTATGTGAAATCTTCATAAATAAAAAAAATTACACGATTGCTGAAAATTGCAATGCACTAAAAGTAAACGGATGTTTTTTTTTTAATTTTTGAATGGAAAACAAACAAGCCTATCGAATTTATCCTATTTAACTAACTTTAACATCTTCTAAAAGATCCGAACTTCAAAATAAAAAAAGTTTCTATATCTAAAGTAGTTCTTGAGTTATCGCGTGTTATGTGTTAAAAAGTTGAGTTTTTAAATTATTAAACGATGCGATTACTGACGTTTTCTCGTTATAAAAAAATGGATACTCTAACGATATCCTTATAATTCCATTTCAGATGCTCAGAAACATATCCAATGATTGTATCTAGTTATCTTTTCGAAAAAAAAAATCTTTTAAAAATAAACGGTTTGCGATCGTGATTTTACTTTATTTGATAGTCTTTTTATTTTGCAACTTGACGCCTCATATTTTTTAATGAGGAAGATAATTTGCTTACCCTACAGAGTACAGGCTTATACTTAGTTCTTTTTCGAACACTTTTAGGACTAATTCTGGCTGCTAATCTTGAAGCTGTTGCCGCTGTTTTAAACCCAAAACGTTTCTTATATTCTTGACCAGGACTTTTATCTGAACTGTAACCGGATTGTGGATTGCTATCTTCATCTCCAGAATATACTTTTAAGTTACCATTATTTCTACATATTAAAAATAATACAGAAAGACATAAAATTCAATTAGTACTTCTTACGTCGTTCCTTTCTTGGCTTCTTTGGATTCACTTATCATTCGCTCTACCGAAGCAAAGTATTTTGTCCACCAATCTTTACTGCCTTCTTCGTCATCGAAATCATCATCAACACTGTGTTTTCGCTTCTTGTTTATGTCGGTTTTTGTTTTTCTCGCGTTATCTTGAGTTCCATAACCTAAAATACTTTCATAGTTTGAAATTTATCTTAAAATCATCCATTAAACAGTTTACCAATCATTACAAACACATCTTTGGGTAGAAGAGGACTTTTTTCTTTCTCACTAGTACCAGAGTGGTGTGATGTTCCTGACGATGGTACCTGATTCATAACTAAACCTCCGTCCATGGTTTTCAGTTGGTTTAGAGATTTTTTTCTTTCCTCTGCTTCTCTGTCTTTTTTGGTCGTTGGTGTGTACATGTACTTATGAATGGAGTTTATTGTATGGGTACCAACCAGTGTATACCTGGAAGAATAATTTTAAACTTGAAAAACTCATTCATACAGTTACTCTGAACTGAAAAAAACATAACAATATTTCTAAAATTCTACTAGGTTTAGGATTTACTCAGACAAACGCCTTAGTCTGCGATTATAGTGGAGCGGCGAGGATAGAGGATAGCGAAGAGGTGAGCGGTCCAATTCGTCTTCTTTTAATCAAACCTATGTATTCATATGCAGGCGCGTGCAGTGAGGCGTGAGTAGAGGAAGGCGGTGCACATAGCGGTGCTAAGAGAAACAAAAATGTTTGTTTTTAATAGCGTCGAAGATCGCGGTCTGGAGGGATCGTCAACATTCGTATAAGTTCGTAGCCACCTGAGGTATAGAAAGACCGAGGAAATATTAATTTTTGAAATAAATTACTCTAACATGGCTGAATTTTGGAGGAAACTATTTCTAAAATGCGATCAAAGCTTTCAATGGACATTCTAAAGTACTGTCTGAACTTTTCCTCATATAGTCTCAATTTAAAATAAAGACGACTAAAGTCTCCGTTTTCTCTTCAATCTCTATTAGCGGGATGAACAGACCATCTCCCAATTCTTCTTTGCTGGGAATAATTATGCAAGATACAACATTTAGCAGCCGTATTTTCGGTAAGTAAGAGCTTTCGCTTTCGATTACTTAATCGGACCATTGTCGTATTGCTACTGGAAAATATGTCGCACAATTTTTGCTCTATCCTCTCCGCTTTTACTATAAGTTTTGCGACGCTATCCTCGCCGTTTACCGCGCCGCTGTCCTCTTTCCTCGTCGCTACCCTCTTTTCTCGCCGCTCCACTATAATCTCAGCCTTAGGCGAAGACCATAGTGAACATACCGCGTCGAGCAAGCCTCGAGGTGCTAAAAAACGTAGTAGAGCGGCGAGGAATAGCGAGGTACTTGTGCAATTTTATTATTTTCATTTGCTTATTGATAATTTAAAATGTTAACAATGGCTAAAATTCTTGGCAGTAGTGTTGCAAAAATTTGGTTAGGTGAAGTTTTCAAAAATCCGAGAAAGTATGGCAAGTTTTATAACCTTTACGAAAATTTGTTACCACTTCATCTCATAACTTATCTAAAATGTACCGGTTATGGTGATTACTATCTTTCCTGATCCCATAAAATCTCTCTTATAAATACTAAATCTATCAATTTTTGAGAATCTATAATTTTCTACAGCGCGACAGAGCGACGAAAACAAAATTATTTGAATCGATCTTGCCGCTTGATCTAACCGCTCGAGCAGATCGCTTTACTATGTTCGCACGTAGTTGTCTTCACAGGTTTGTCTTGGACGCGATGTCGCGCTGCTTGCTCGCCGCTAGCCTCGTCGCTTCACTATGTTCTTATCCTTACGTATACAATATTTTCTTATTTTATTATTATAATAATATTTATAATGCTTACCTTCCGAAACTTCTACAATCTACAGCTCTGATTGTTAAGGGAGGTCGGTAGAGTTCTTGTTCGGGTAGATCCAATTCTAAGAACTTGACTGGAGTTGAGAAATTTGGATTTTTCCTAAAAGAAAATGTTCATCATATACAGAAATATTATGATCTTGATAGAGACGTTTACTTTTACTAGAAGATACATTTAATAAACAACAATTTCAATATCTTTCAGTTGAATACTTTTGCTGAATCATATTTGAAGTTTATCTGTTGAGTTTATAAAGCCTATTTATTAGATTTATTTATTAACTTCTATATAATATCCTTGTTTATATATTCTTAAAGTTGTTCAACCGACTAGACAAAATGTGCTGCTAACTGGAGGACAAATCGTGAACCTTTCGGGGCGGAGTCAAAAATATCGATTATTTTCGTTATTTTCCTCAGAGTAATGTAATAATATAGCCCGGGTTTCTGCGAACTTTAATAGTGATCCGCTAACGAAACTTTTATTTTATTGTAAATTGTGGATTATTTTTGACTGTTATTTTAAGAATTCTAAACCGTATTAACAAAGAAATTATTATTTCGATATGTTGGTACATTATTTACAATTTATGATAATGCTAATTGGCTGTTAATTCATATTTAAAAAAAGTTACATACCTATTTTAATTTGATTTAATGCAGGTTTATAAAAGAATCATTTCATTCTTAGATTATTTTATTCTAAATTGAGTGCTTTACGAATTTTACGATATTTTTTTTGAAAACAAAACTTTTACATTTTTGATGCTAACTAATTGGCATGGTATTATTAGTATGGTAATTAGCCAAGAAAGAAAAGAATTGGCTATAACTTGTAATTTTTCGAAAAAACATATTATACCTATCGCTGAAAAGCTTAAAAAATGGCGCTTTTTATGAAGTCATGGCTAACTATGGTTTACTAAAAAAACATATGTTTGTGTCATATGTCAAAAATTACAGACTTAAGAAAAAAAAACAGAAAACACAAACTCATTAGGTATGTGATTATCTACAACTTTTATCTGAAAACTTTTTGTCTAAAATACCGTATGATCGAATAAAAACGGCGTCAGCGATGGCTATGAAATGACGATCAATGATATTTCCCATATAATTTTATATATTAAATGACAGCGATCTTCACTTCATAGCCATCGTTGACGCCGTTTTTATTCGATCATACGGTAGATTATAATGGAATTAGAGACAAGTTTTAAAATAGCCAAAATTTGTTTTTTTCGAAATATCTAATAAGCCTTGAACTTCTCCGAAAAATCCGAAAGGCGCATATTTATGACCCCACAAAACTGCAATTCTTTCCCCATTAACCGACTCTCTATCTCCAGTAGTTTCCGAGATGCCCATAGAGAACATCGTAGGAAACTCATCCTGTATATAGTATTTTGAAACTAACTATTATTATTATTTGACTAGTTTAATTTGATTAATAAGGCTAGATTAATTTAATTTCAAATAAATTTGATCAGCTTTTTTTTCGTATATTCTGCTACCAGAAAACCAAGATTATATGATAACGCACTTTTCAACGAAGTTGAAGGAAGATATAGTGTATCTATCACAATATTTAATAGAACTACTACAATTATTACAAGAAAAACAAAAAGAAGAAATACCCAAATACCCCTTCACCTACTACTCAACTATAAAATAAACCAATATAATCTCTTAAAAACACTACACAACTACTTATTCTTGTATTCTACACTGAACAAATTATCAAACTTACTAATTTATCAAACAAAAAGAAAAAATAACAAAATTATTTCTTCACCTACTACTTAACTACAAAATAAACTATAAAAATACTACTAAACTATTTTTGGTAGACTACACTAACATACTACACTAAACACTATAATTAAACTTAATAAATTAATCTAATTTTACACTACACCTACAAAGAAAAAAGAAATATGAACATTTTCTAAAACTAGAAGAAACAGAACTTCCATACGTGCGACCAGGATAATAGGTCAAGGGGACAAAGAATATAAAATACTTTAAAATGTGCATTCAGAAAAAAAAATTATCTAAACAAACATTTTTATTTCTTATCAGTGAAAAGCATCGGCCTTGTCGGCCTTGAAGAATTTGTCGGGTATTTACAATGGTCGAATTGTATAATTGCCAGCTTTTATAGCATATCTAATAGACAAAAAGTATCTGGTCGATTAGTAACCAATTGGCACAGTCCGAAAATTATCGATTTTTATTTTCTCTGTTTTTATTGGCAGCTTCAAAATTCAGAGTAACAAAAAATATTTTTCTGTAGGGAAACCGGTCCTGCCATCTAGTAGTCTTAGTCCATAAACGTCTTAGGTTGATCTACTTTAAAAATATATATACAAGGATAATATGAAGATCGGTTTCAGATTGTTTTAATTGGTTTTAGATTTACTCTTTAATATTCTATGGATACAAAATGATTATAGATTAATCAAATAAAATAGTATATATTGTTTTATTAGGAGTAAAAATGATACTTTTTGTGACGAGGCTGAACAGGGTGTCCCATTTTGGTTGAAATCATACGGTCAAAAAGCTGCCGCAAACAAAATTTTCATAGCCCTTTTCGTTTCTGAGCTACAGGGTCTTTTCAGATTTTAAAATTTGCAATTTGAGATACCTCCCTTATCTCTGTTATTGTGAAAGGTATCGAGAAGGTGAAAACTGTTCTTGTAGAACTTTTTACGTAGAATAAAGCGGTGTAGTCTGTTTTGGTACTAAAACAATGTTTTTGAAAATATGAACTAAAGTTCAAATGAAACAACTTGTATATTTATAAATCATATGATCCGTCATGCTATGACAAAAGTATATACCACTCATATTTATTTTCATAATTAATAATAATAATAGCTCCCGTATATAGCGTTTAATGCCTTGGGAGTAGCAAGGTACAGCTTGCTATACTAGAGCCGTTCGGTATACAAGGAAGGTAATGTGGCTAGCACTACGCTTCAACCGCCTATTATTACCTCAGGATTGTGAATCCCAAGTACTCATTTAAGGCTGAGTCGACCTAGGTACCCAAACTATTTTTATTTTAATAAAAATAGTTGGCTGATGAAATGCCGGGTGTGGGAATCGAACCCACACCTTGAGATTGGTAGACGAGAGCCTGTACCTCTACGCCACCGGGCACCATGTTTTCATAATTTACTACTATATTTAAGAGATATCATTTTCTTATTAGTAGGCCGTGATGGATAACAAAAAAATCAAAATGATATATTTAGGTATATGTATTTACATCCATATGTTAAATTTTCATTTGGGACTGAAATATTTTATTTTATTTATTTTTTAATATTTTTAATATATTTTTGTTCTTCTTTTATAACGGGATTTTAATAATATATATATATATATATATATATATATATATATATATATATATATATATATATATATATATATATATATATATATATATATATATATATATATATATATATATAGATATATATATATATATATATATATATATATTTGAGAAGGTTATGGCAAGCCAGATCATATAATTTATAAATATACAGGGTGTTTCACTTATGAAAACATAATTTTATTTCATATCTTCAAAAATATGCTTTTTGTAGAATAATAGACTATGCCACTGTATTAGACGTAAAAAGTTCTACAATACACAGTTTTCACCTTCTCGATACCTTTCACAATAACAGAGATACAGGGAGTGTCCCAAATTGCAAAATTTTCAAAAAGACCCTGTAGCTCAGAAACGAAGAGGGCTATGCAAATTTTGTTTACAGCATCTTCCGTTTGACAAAAAAGTGGAAAAGGTTTGTGTAAACCGCATCTTCACTAATAACGGAGATGCCGTATGATTTTAACCAAAATGGGACACCCTGTACGTTTGACATACAGGTCAGGCAATGTTAATAATAGTTGAAAATGTTATTTATTTTGTTAACTTTCCTCGTTAACTTTATTATGTCGAAAAAATAGTACAGAGAGACAAAATCTTCTAAATTGTACCCACTATCACACTGTACATACAGGGTGTCCTAGGCTGAGCGTGCATTAGAAGTTTCTAGAAAACTACAATATCTAAACTACCCAAATGGGGGCACCCACTACAATAGGTGCCCCCATTTTTTAGTAAATACTTAAATTCTCTGTAATAATTTTATGAATTTTTATATCAAACATTTTACACCTAACATTAACCGTTTTTGAGAAAAAAAATATTTGAAATTTTTGGACGAAAAAAACTGCCTGTATAGTCTAAACGTCAAATTTAGTGATTACCACAGCCACTGTGCGATAAAGGGAATACATGACATGATATGACATCAAAAATGGTTACATATACATACTGCCATTACTCGCTGACGAGTATTTGACACGCATCAGAAGATGGTCACGCAAGGCGTTTTCTTTCATGAGCCTTTCCAACCAAAAATGGTTAATGTTAGATATAGAGTGTTTAACATAAATATTCATAGAATTTTACAGAGAATTTAAGTATACTCTGTTTTTTTTTCTCAGGTAAGATTTCGACAGACGATGACAGAAGAAAAGCAGATGACGTCCTATACCAATCTATTTATTTTACTAAAAAAAGTTTCTAATAATTTTTAAGTTATCTATGGATGGGTTTAAATATAAATCCGTCATGCGTCGTGTCTTGTTGTTTTTAACCAGTTTTATTGGTTTATTTAAAAAAATGACAGATCGTATTTCAATTTTATTGGTTTGACGGAACGATGGACGATAAACGGACGCCGATGCGTATGAACTCGCCTTTAGATTTTTGTCATTTTTGACGCTTGTCAAAGTCTTGCCAAATTATAGGTTATAATTTTGTGTCAACTTTTGTTAAATACCCTGCGTTTTGGAAGATGATGCATTTTGATTCGTATTATTACGTGTGTTTTGTGTTTTTTGAAGTCAAGTGGAGGAAAAATCGAGTGAAAATTAACTGTAGACCCAGAGCACAGTTTATGGTTAATACTCGCTACCCAGGCAGAAAGTCTTATACACCAATGAAGTTGCCATCGTTAAAGTTTGTATACCATCTCGTCGTAGATAAGTGTATCTCATATATGGTAGAAGGATCAAACTAAACACATACTAAAAACTGGAGTAGCTGTAAAATATCGACATCACACGATAGGTAAATAATGGATTTTAGTACTGCAGAAAATAATGTCAAAAGGTACTGGTTTAAAAAATTAAGATTAAAGTTAATTAATCAACCTTTAAGGTATAAAATTTGGTAGGTGTTATTATTAATAAAATAGTTTGTTTTATTTACCTATGTTGTTTTATTTATTCCTGTGGAATATTACAAATTTGTATTTGTACATAAGTTATATTGATAAATATAATCATAAATGCGGGTAGTTTCATAAAGCTTGAAAGTAAAAAAGTTCTTTTTTATATTTTTTGGTATGTAGTGTCTTGTTCTTGTTTGTTTTGTATTAACACATACCGGTTTTATTAAATAAAATAACTCGATTACATTTTTTCAGTTTTATACAGTTTTTTTCACAATATTTTGAAGTAATCACTTATCATCTTGTCAATCAAATTTTAAATATTTCCTGCTATGCGTTCCAGTTGTACAAACCTATTTCTTTGTAAAATAAAATAAACTACTTTGAAATTAAAATGACAGACACATCTATCACTGTCAAGGATCTTCTCGTTGGACAGACTATACGTATGTAATAAAAGATGGGAGCACCTATTTAAAATAAGAAAGTTGCTGTCAACTTCTGGGCCCGTATTCTGTAACTTTGAAAACGCTAAGCGCTTTTAGACGCTCAGCGTATATGACATTAATTTTCGCTGAGCGCGCACTTAATTAACGATTTCAGTATTCTCGTCTGACGCGCTTAGCGTCTTTACTGATTGCGCTGAGCGCTTTGAAAACGGTTGCCTTAAAAGATCGTTTTGCTTGTCGAACTGTCAGTGAAAATCGAAAAAATTATGATTTTGTGCGTTACTTCTTTAGTGAAAATTACTACTTTTTCTATAAATTCCTCGATAAGTAATTGATAATTTACGACTTGGCAGCTATAAATATTGTTCAAAACATCCAAAATGCTGAGAAGCGTCTTCAACACTTCCCTCGTATAATAAGAATAATGACATATCCATAGAAAAATAGCTTGACATAGCTGAACAATAGGTTATGAAATTCACGTAACATTGACATTTTTCATTGTTATATCCGTCAGTTATCAACTTTTGACTATTACCTTTGCTATTACCTACGTTAGAAATTGTGATGTTGCCAATATGTGCTCAACGCGTATCCAGAACACGATTCGCATGGCAACGAGAATACCAAAATCGACTGCCTTGCGTTTCGCTGATCGAATACTTGCGCTCACCGCTTTGAAAACGTAACGTTTTTATGTCAAAGTTACAGAATACGGGCCCTGGTATTTCCGGAAGTGCCGCCATATTGAAAATATGTTTAATAACAATGATGTGTAAAATATTTCCTATCTGAATATTGTAGTTCTCTAGAAACTTCTAATGCAAGCTCAGCCTGGGACACCCTGTATAGCCAACGGTATATTTCTCAAACTCTATTGAACCAAAGCTTAATTTATTACTTTTTATAAGTCGAAACAATCAAATCGATTGTTGTTATGCATAGTTTAGTTCATTTCGCCTTTTACCAGCTTATTTCATTACCTTGAATTAGAAATGATGCTGGAATACAGGATATGCCCCGCACATTCAATATCCACCCTGGGCTTGTCTACGGTTAGCAAATGGATTCTCTTTAGGTCCCTTAAGCCCCAAAATAACACCTCGATGCGGTAGCGGGCTAAGGTCGGCCTTATTCCTCTGGGAACGGGCAACAAAGGGCCTAAATCCTTCGTATCTGTATCCTGAATATAAAATAATACGATTATTTCGTGTTTATGAGCCTAGAGACTTAGGAATTCTAATAATTTATTAATTATTATACTTTTCTGATTTTATGCATTGTATGTACAGGGTGGGTCAAATTCGACGCTTTTAAATGGAAACACCCTTTTCTATAGGAGATAGACGAAAACTAATATCGGTGTCTGGAGCTCAATTTTCATCAAAAACATGATGGTGAAAACCGCACAACAATATCTGTTACCGTTTCGGAGTTACGGGGTGTTTTTCAAAAATGTGCATTTTTAACAAATCGCTGTAACTTTTTTGCTATGGAAAATTTTGTATTTCTATGAAAACATTTCCAAAGCACCTTTTTACGTAGAATTTAAAGGTTTAAGTAATTAATAAATAATTTTTTTCAAATTAATAATTTAAGAGTTATCAACAGAAAAATTGATTTTTTATTTGGGACACCCCTACATTTTTAATTAACTGAAAAGAATTTGAAATTACCTTTCCAAAAATATAGCACACTTGATATTTTGTTATAATCCCCTTCGAAATACAGAATTATTAAAAGTTCGCCACTTTTAACTAGTAGGCTTTGGACCCCTTATTGATGATAATATGCCCTTAATGGAACTCGAAAATATATTTTTCCAGCAAGACGACGCACCGCCTCTGAACGCTGAAGTTGTCAGCAAATTTTTGCAGCCAATTTCAAGAATAATTCAATAGCTAACCAAGATCCCAGCTGTTGGCCGTCGAGTCCGCCTGACATAGTGCTCATGGATCTAATCCTATGGATATATTTGCGGAAGAATAAAGGTTCCTTATTCTTCCGTATAATCGAGACAAGAATTAGAAATAGTAGTTATGAGAGGGTATCTTTCACCCCCACTGAGTTAATGAGTTCCGCGAGAAATTTTCAAAAACTGCCCCGTCTGTCCATAACAGAAGACGGTCGATATGTCGAACACCTGTAGCACAATGTCATGTCTTGGTTTGCTATTTATTTTTATTGTTATTAGATATAGTTTAAATGTGTTGATGTTGGTTAAATATATTTGAAATTGTTATAAAATTCTGCATCTCTCATAGCAAATATTATTTTCGTTTTAATTGATGCTCACAGCTAGACTTTTTTTGCATTACAGCCGATGCCGTTCAAAGCCTACTTATTTAAAGCGGACGAATTTTTATATACTCTAAATATCGAAGAGGAATCGAGCAAAATATCAAGTGTGTTATATTTTTGGAAAGGTAATTTTAAATTCTTTTCAATAAATTAAAAATATACAGGGTGTCCCGTATAAAAATCAAATTTTCTGTTGATAATTCTTAAATTATTAATTTTAAAAAAATTATACTTAAACCATTAAATTCTACGTAAAATGGTGATTTGGAAATGTTTTCATAAAAATACAAAATTTTCCATAGCAAAAAAGTTACAGCGATTTGTTAAAAATGCATATTTTTGAAAAACACCCCGTAACTTTGAAACGGTAACAGATATCGATATGCGGTTTTCACCATCATGTTTTTGACAAAAATTGCTCCAGACACCGATATTAGTTTTTGTCTATCTCCTATAGAAAAAGGTATTTCCATTTAAAAGCGTCGAATTTGACCCACCCTGTACAGGGTGGCGCCTCTCATGGAAACTTCAAGTAGAACGGTAGTTTATATGAAAATTAAATGTTTGAATTGTATTTTATAAAAATATTCTACAGGAAAAAGTTACACATCAAAGTTGTTTTTTTTGTCATGGAACACCCTATACAGGGTTGTTCACTATATACCACACGGAGAATTATAGCTAAACGAATAGATTTTTACAAATTGTAAGTTTTGGGTTCGTTGAAGGACTATTAGAGCTACAATTTAAAAATAATTTTACAAGATACAGAGTGTCTCAAATAAGTAAAACATATTATAGTTGTATTTTTTTTAAATGGAACATTCTGTATGTTATTCAATTTTTTGGATTCTACGATTGAAATAAAGGTAAATTTGATTAAGGTTTATTATACTTAAACCTTACGGTTTTCTAAATATTTTCAAATTTTGTAAAATTGCAGTAAAAAAATTAAGGCTTCATTTCTCCAAGGGCATCAAAGTTTTTAGTACTAAATATTTACTGAAGATTATTTATTGATCAGATATTGTGTTGCAGTAATAAAAATTTATATTAAAATTGTAAAAATCTAATCGTTTAGCTACAATACTCCCTGTCGTATGTGGTGAACAACCCTGTATATTAATTATTGCTTTTAGGATTCTACGAGAAAAATAAAGGTGAGTTTTATTAACGAAGTATGACTAAAATGTAAGGTTTAGTATTTTCTAAAAATGAAAAACAAATTTTAAATTTCAATAAAACCTACCTAAATTGAAATTTTCTCTGTATAGTCTGATATTTAGTTAAAATAACCACTGAATGTGAAACAAAATTAAAATTTGACGCGAAAAGTTATACATGTTGAGACAAAATAAGTTTTGTTGTTGATGTCTTGATGTCTGGGTTATAAAATACTATTATTGCCATTATATCAAACAAAAGCTATGCATCTAATTTAAGGTACATAGCTTTTATCAAATATATTGATAGCCGAACACGTGGTTTTATTGATTTGGAAGGTAAATATCTAATAAAATATTGATATTAAGAACATTTAAAATCTTTACCTTATATATTGGTATATCTTTGGCTTGAGGAAGATTTGGTAAAGATCCTTCTGTGCCACTGGGTATCTCCAGCAACTCGAATACAGCCAAAAGTTCTCCAGCATGATCAACTCCCCTTGTGATAGTAAACCATTCCAAAGAAGGTGGATATTTTGGTTTATTATAAGGCTCCTCCCTTAATTTTACGTGAGGTTTCGCCATAGCCCTTCCAATAAATTCAGACTTGCCAACCTTATCCTGGTCAAAGATTTCAATAATTATCGATAGAGGGTCTTTTTTAATTTCTTCTGAGGAACCTTTAAGAAATAAACAAAATTGGATTATTAGATATTAGTAAAAAATATTTAATGATTACCAAAAAGGAGAACTTCTTCAAATACTAGCAATTCGTCCCAGGTTGGGCTCAGAGTTTCGTCTATTACTTGAGTTGTTTTACAAAATTCCCCTGCAATGATCCTAGCGAATGGATCAGAGAGACCTGAAGCATCACTTCCTATTAGTGATCTGGCTTGGTAGATGTGAGCTCTAAGTTGAAAAACCTAGAGTAAAATATTGATTACTCTTACAAAAAGAATGCATGTGTGAAGCTAGAATTAGAAGTAATATATTCTGATAAATGTATAATATAGTAGGGATCTTACGTGTTTATCGACGTAGTGGATGACAGAAGGTGGCAAAGCTCTGGGTCTTTCTACATTTCTGATTTCTTGTGATATTTCGTATCCTTTGGGAATGCCAGTTATAAAATGTTTTTTGTGTTTCAGCATACCCAGCCAGACGTAAATCTGTAATTTAGCTGGTATGGTCCAGCCGCTTGGTCCAGTCCCTTTTTTACCTGGTAGCTATAACAATAAAAATATAGCTTTAGACAGCCAAAGTGCTTTATCTCTTCAGGAATAAACAATTTCCAAGCTAGCCCAAAGAATGGGCATCAGAAATCGAAAATTTCTGATGCTCATTTTCGCTCAAAATTCGCCACTTTCCTGAATCAAAAAAAAAATGTCGAAAATAATACAAAAATTGGTGACCTGTGAGTACCATACAATTTTAAAACCACAGTGAAACTGCTAATGCCCAGCACGCTGTGAATTACTACTATTAAGTACTTAATTAAAACAATAAAAATAGCCTTTTGAAAGTTTTGGTATCTACAGATGTCCGGATTTTCTTTACAAGAGGAAAAACTTTTTTATTAATGACATTTTGAGGAAAATGCATTCTTCATAAAAAATTTGCTTGTTCTAAAATGGTTAATCCCGTTTATACTTTTCCAAATTTTTATACCGTTTTAAAGAAAATTAAGAAAAACATGAAAATATTGTTAGAAGTCTTAAAAATCAAAACGCGTTTCTGTGGTAATATAATTTCATTTCATTTTTTGATAGATTATTATTCATAGAAGTTTAATTAATGTTATATTTTTTGTTGCTTTAAAATGTTACAGAAGCATAAACTTTATTTAGTCAATGCTACGGAAAGGATGATATTAGTTTTCAGAAAGAAATACTTTAACAACGTTTATAACGAACAGTGAAAAAAATAAATAAATAAAAAAAATTAAAATAAAATAAAATCAATAAAATGAAAAATATACGAAATAAAATAAATGTACTGATTTCTTTTGAAAATCGACAACTATGACAATATGAACCCTTCCTGGACATAAACGGTACATTGTGAGACAGGAAATTGTAGAAAGAAACAAGCCCTATAACATAGGATACAACATTTTAATGAACAGTGCTTTCCATAAAATCAATAAAATTAAAAATATACGAAATAAAATAAATGTACGGATTTCTTTCGAAAATCGACAACTATGAAAATATGAACCTTTTCTGGACACAAACGGTACATTGTGAGACAGGAAATTGTAGAGAGAAACAAGCCCTATAACATAGGATACACCATTTTAATGAACAGTGCTTTCCATAAAATCAATAAAATGAAAAATATACGAAATTAAATAAATGTACTAATTTCTTTCGAAAATCGACAACTATGAAAATATGAACCCTTCCTGGACACAAACGGTACATTGTGAGACAGGAAATTGTAGAAGAAACAAGCCCTATAATATAGGATACAACGTTTTAATGAACAGTGCTTTCCATAAAATTAATAAAATGAAAAATATACGAAATAAAATAAATAATGTACTGATTTCTTTCGAAAATCGACAACTATGAAAATATGAACCCTTCCTGGACACAAACGGTACATTGTGAGACAGGAAATTGTAGAGAGAAACAAGCCCTATAACATAGGATACAACATTTTAATGAACAGTGCTTTCCATAAAATCAATAAAATTAAAAATATACGAAATAAAATAAATGTACGGATTTCTTTCGAAAATCGACAACTATGAAAATATGAACCTTTTCTGGACACAAACGGTACATTGTGAGACAGGAAATTGTAGAGAGAAACAAGCCCTATAACATAGGATACACCATTTTAATGAACAGTGCTTTCCATAAAATCAATAAAATGAAAAATATACGAAATTAAATAAATGTACTAATTTCTTTCGAAAATCGACAACTATGAAAATATGAACCCTTCCTGGACACAAACGGTACATTGTGAGACAGGAAATTGTAGAGAGAAACAAGCCCTATAATATAGGATACAACGTTTTAATGAACAGTGCTTTCCATAAAATTAATAAAATGAAAAATATACGAAATAAAATAAATGTACGGATTTCTTTCGAAAATCGACAACTATGAAAATATGAACCTTTTCTGGACACAAACGGTACATTGTGAGACAGGAAATTGTAGAGAGAAACAAGCCCTATAACATAGGATACACCATTTTAATGAACAGTGCTTTCCATAAAATCAATAAAATGAAAAATATACGAAATTAAATAAATGTACTAATTTCTTTCGAAAATCGACAACTATGAAAATATGAACCCTTCCTGGACACAAACGGTACATTGTGAGACAGGAAATTGTAGAGAGAAACAAGCCCTATAATATAGGATACAACGTTTTAATGAACAGTGCTTTCCATAAAATTAATAAAATGAAAAATATACGAAATAAAATAAATAATGTACTGATTTCTTTCGAAAATCGACAACTATGAAAATATGAACCCTTCCTGGACACAAACGGTACATTGTGAGACAGGAAATTGTAGAGAGAAACAAGCCCTATAACATAGGATACAACATTTTAATGAACAGTGCTTTCCATAAAATCAATAAAATTAAAAATATACGAAATAAAATAAATGTACGGATTTCTTTCGAAAATCGACAACTATGAAAATATGAACCTTTTCTGGACACAAACGGTACATTGTGAGACAGGAAATTGTAGAGAAACAAGCCCTATAACATAGGATACACCATTTTAATGAACAGTGCTTTCCATAAAATCAATAAAATGAAAAATATACGAAATTAAATAAATGTACTAATTTCTTTCGAAAATCGACAACTATGAAAATATGAACCCTTCCTGGACACAAACGGTACATTGTGAGACAGGAAATTGTAGAGAGAAACAAGCCCTATAATATAGGATACAACGTTTTAATGAACAGTGCTTTCCATAAAATTAATAAAATGAAAAATATACGAAATAAAATAAATAATGTACTGATTTCTTTCGAAAATCGACAACTATGAAAATATGAACCCTTCCTGGACACAAACGGTACATTGTGAGACAGGAAAATGTAGAGAGAAACAAACCCTATAACATAGGATACAACATTTTAATGAACAGTGCTTTCCAGAATAGTTTTAATAGTTTTTAATAGTTCAGTTAGAATATGACGTTAATCAATATTAATTAATAAACTCTAAAATGGTATGGAAATTTGGAAAAGTCTAAACGGGATTAATAATTTTAGAACAAGCAAAATTGTTTTCTTCTTTATTCTGATTTATTCTGATTAATCTGTTTGTATCAAAAATTACGTAAATGATAGGGATGAATTCTACGAATTGCAAAGGAATTAAAAACATTAGACGATAAAATACCTCAACAAAGTGTAAATTAATTATTAATATAAGTATTTAAATAAATCAATATAAAAAACTAGTCTTTAATAACAATAAAGTAGGTAATAAAAAATCAGTTACAGGGTTATTATGTTTTATACTATAAAACTTCCTGTTTTCTTTATAAAGAACCTTCTTAATAATTTTTAAAATTATTTTTTTCCTTTACAGCTTCTTTATAGACAAGTTACAAAAATAATCTTCCAGAAAATAATTAGAAGGATAAACGTTCTTGTTTTTATTCGTGAAGGAGATCCCTTGCTAATTAAAACAGGTACTCTCCGTAATATTTTTCTGGGTAAATTTCAGGGTTGTGTAATTTCACAATTTTGGATGAACAACTTAAAACGTTTATACGAACCAACAGGAAGTGAAATAAAAATAAACCAAAGAAGATTAGACAGCTAAGAAAAATATATTAGTTCACTTTTTAGAATGGAAAACCCTGTTAATTTTCATTCTTTGAAAGATCGTTTCTTCCGATTTCAAACATAATTCGCGTTTTAAATAATAAACCGTTTTTGGGTTATTTTGATTTAATAACTGCCCATACACGGAAAGGCCCGGCCTTCGGACACGGCATTGGGGCTAGCCTTTCACCCGAATTAACATAGCGGAAATATATATGCGGATTTTGCCTTTGACGCAAACCTATGGTATATCGACAACTGGCACCCTCGGTATTTTTTTACTTTATTCGATAGAAAATAAATCTCTGAATAGAATGACATATCATATGTCAACTATTGACATTTTCGCTTATGGTTTATTTGAAATTATAACTTGCGGTTCGTAACGAAAATTCTATTCAGAATGTCATTTTCTATCGAACAAAGTAAAAATATACTGAAAGTGCTAGTTAAAAATCAAAAGTTGTAGTCACTTCCTGTTTCACCGGAAATGACCAAAACGAATTGAATACGTCAATCAATCCTAATTTATGTCATATACTAACATACCAAATCTCGTTTTTTTATCTGAAAAAATAAAAAAGTTATAGGGGTGAGCCACTTTTGAGACGCACCCGGTATAATAGTATAATGTACAGGGTGAGTCTTAAATAAGTGCAAATATTTTTAGGGGTAGTATATTTCGACGCCAGAAACACGATTGTGAGGTTTTTCGCGAACAAAAAATTTTGAAAATTTGGAACTTTTTGAAAAAACTTTTGGAAATCTTTTTAATTTTTAGTTAAAAACATAATTTCTTGATAATATGGCAACATAGGTAGTAGATTAATTGTAGAAGCAAGAAAAACCAGAAAAGATCCAGTGGTTCTCAAAAAAAAATTGTTTTGGAAATTTTCAAGTAAAATAACTCAATTTAATTTACTAATTACTACTAATTACTATTTCTCTCTTACTACTCTTACTTACTACTTCAATATTACTATTTCAAAAACGGTAAAGAGAAAATATGATTCTTTTATCGAAATCTGCCTAAACAAGAAAAAAACAATTTACTGTAGTATACTGCTACGTAACAAGATGTTTTTTTTATTTAATATTCATATAGGCTACCCTAATTAGATAAGCTTTTTTTATATTTTTATCCTAACGCAACGAAAAATATCGTTCATATTTTATGAAATTAAAATTAGCGGGTTGGAATTTCATTATAACTGTTTTTAAAGTAAATCCTTTACATAAATTAGCAAGCATCTGGAGCCAAAACTTGAGAAGAAAAACTTATTCTTGGGGAGCTTAAACCAGGAGATACTCTTATAATTTGAAAAACATCGATTAGCAGTGGGAAATTCTTCAAAGAAAAAAGTTGTTTGTACGGTTGAAAAAAATATACAGAGTGTTTCAACAGACATGTACCATCTCTCGTGGTGACATTTCATGTAAAAAATTATATTGATTTTTATATCAACATAGGAGGTCCGATTGTGTTTTATTTCGTAGCTACAGGGAGCTACAATCTACTTTTTTGTTTGATTACTATTTCCTTCCAAGCGCCTGTAGCGATTCGAATGATAGTTTGAAGATGAAAGTTGGCTTTAAGTACTACAAATTTTAATGTTAAAAATGTGTCGACAGATTTACTAGCGACGTGCATATGGGTTGCCGTCAAACCAAAAATATGTAAAGAAGTTCCAATCTAAATGCTGCAGTTATCTATAGAAGCTTTTAATGTAAGCTAAAACAAGGAAACTATGTTTACTTGTGTTCAACCCGACACAAAATAGACCTACAATCTGACAAGAAGATAGGAATCAGCTCTTATTTGATTAAATAATAATAGTCACACGTAGAATAAAACTCAACAGATTGGTTAGCCACTAGACTGCACTAACACTAAAACACCTGATATCTAGAGGTATCAATTTATGGTTAATATTAATGTCATGTAATACTTCTTTACCCGAAATCAATCACTTATAAAGAATGTAATGTTGTCTTTTTCATATAGCTTACCTTTAAAAACATTGTCTGTACTCGTCCACAATCCTTGCCACTCTCCTCATCTACGATTGAGTAAATAATGTCCCTGGCTGGAATTCGTTGGTAAGCCTGTCTTTTCCCACCACATATTATCCAAAGGAAGACATCGGGGAGTGCATGCTGAGGCTAAAAAAAGACAATATCTTTTTACAATAATTTTTCCCAAATGTAAAACACGCTTTACGCTATGCGGAGAATAGACCTAAACAGGTCAAGGTCGCGTTTCGTCGCCTAATTTTGGCGCGTTTCGGCTTATTTCGTGTTGTCTTGACCTATTTCGGTTTGTCTCGATCTATTTTCTTAAAATCTAGATTTTTAAATCGCCTCAAAACTACTCGTGAAATTGCGGAGAAGGGCATGGGGGGTAGTTTTGGCGTTTCCTGTTGTCTCTTTCAATTTCGTTTTGTTTTGAGCTGTTGCAAAAACGTGGCGGTATCTGAAGCCGAGGCAAAGGACTTTTTGTCATAAATCTCAGTGAAGTAAGTAAACCTGATGATGAATGATATTTCGTTAATTATATCTCGTCTTATGTTGATATATATATATGTTTATATTCCACAATATTAATATTTGAACACGTTAGATATTTAAGAACAAAACTTTTCACTTAATCTGTAGGAATATAGTTACATGTTTTTATTATCTAATTTTATTATAATGAATTAATTATCATATATCTATATAAAATTGTATATTTTATGTTTATTTACGCGGCCTTAATTGATTAATATAACAGTAGTATTGCTTGATGAGTAATACGGGTAACATCATCAATATATCGAGCTGATTGGGAAAATTATTGATTGATGCGATGTCAGTAAAAGTATGGTCCACCGACATTTTTAAAAAGGAATATTCTCTTATCGTTTTAAGAAACTGTAAAAGATACTTTTGTATACAGGGTGAGTTTCCTTCGATGTTCTCTATGGGTATCTCGGAAACTACTGGAGATAGAGAGTCGGTTAAATTGGGAAAGAATTGCAGTTTTGTGGGGTTATAAATATGCGCCTTTCATATTTTTGAAAAAAGTTCGTGGCTTACTAGGTATTTCGAAAAAGACAAATTTTGATTATTTTAAAAATTGTGCCTAATTCCATTAAAATCTATTTTAGACAAAAAGTTTTCAGATAAAAGTTGTAGATAATCACATCCCTAATGAGTTTGTGTTCTCTGATTTTTTCTAAAGCCTGTCATTTTTGACATATGACACTAACATATGTTTTTTTAAAGGGAAACCATAGTTGGCCATGACTTCATAAAAAGCGCCATTTTTTAAGCTTTTCAGCGATATAAGCTATAGTATGTTTTTTTCGAAAAATTACTGAGTTATAGCCAATTCTTATCTTTCACTACTAATTTCACTTGGTATGGTATTCTTATAATTTATAAGTTATAAAAAGACAGAATATATTATTAAACGGTTCTATACAATTTACATTACACAAACTAAAACTTATAAAAATAATATCACTACATACACTTTAAGTTATTTTAAAAAATGTTCAAAAAATCCGCCATTGTTTTGAGTACATTAATGCCTTTTTTAAAAATTGAATTATTAGCTATTCTGACAGAACGACTGGTAGACTTAATTAAACTTTTCCCGTACCGCCTCTTCGAGTGCCTCTCTTAATTCATAAGTTCTTCTGTAAACCCTGTTGTTAACCATATCGCATAAAATATCTAAAATAGATAGGTCAGGTGATCGAAGAGGCCCATGCAATTGGTCCACCTCTTCCTATCCATGAGTTTATATAATTTGATATAAATACATTTTAATATTTCTTTCATTATGGGGAGGGGTCATAATAAAAGTCATGCTGGAACCACTCTATTGATGCACGAGTCTCTAAATTTAACTTTTCTAACTGTCTTCAAAACCATTCTCTATAAACGCAAGTAACGTTCACCGGTCGATGTATCGTCGAAAATGTATGGCCAAGACAAGTTAAACCAATAATCCAACAAACTTTTCATTTAAAAAAATCATAGTTATAATTTTTGTTTATTTTAATTTACAAAGTTTTGATGTGACAGTTTCACATTGCTGAGAGCAACGACGATTGAACTTGTTTTCATGGCTAACTAAGTAAATTTGTTTAAAAATAATATGAATTGGCTATAATTCACTAAATTTTCGAAAAAAAAAACATATTATAGCTTATATCGCTGAAAAGCTTAAAAAATGCTTTTGCGCTTTTTATAAAGTCATGGCCAACCATGGTTTCTATTTAAAAAAAACATATGTTTCTGTTATATGTCAAAAATGACAGGCTTTAGAAAAAAAACGGAGGACACAATATCATTAAGGGTCTAATTATCTACAACTTTTATCTGAAAACTTTTTGTCTAAAATATATTATAATGAAATTAGAGACAATTTTTAAAATAGCCAAAATTTGTTTTTTTCGAAATATCTAGTAAGCCATGAACTTTCTTAAATATCTGAACGGCGCATATTTATGACCCCACAAAACTGCCATTCTTTCCCCATATAACCGACTCTCTATCTCCAGTAGTTTCCGAGATACCTATAGAGAACATCGTAGAAAACTCATCCTGTAGAATAATAACATGGTTCGATACAAATCCATTTAAAAATAAGAAATAATTAGAGGATTTTTTAAATAGTTTAACAACCGTGAATTATAACCTAGAAAAAGCGGACCGCCAGAACAGTTAGTCACTGTTGCCCGATTTACACGATTTTAAGTTTTGGAAATGTATTTGTTTACTATTTAGTAATTAATAATATTAGACAATGATTAAATATTCTTGTGTAACTTTAGAGGAATAGCCAATTTAATCTACCATCGGTAACTGATTTCTAAATGCACTGTGTTTGATTTTTCATATCAGTTTATTATAGTGGTATTACATTACACTCCATACAAACTAATGATTTTTATTTATACTCCATGTTTACTTATTTTTCTGAAGCCACCACAACATTTGACCTTGATTGCTTCGCGAATAGTACGATAAATACAGGGTGTCCCAGAAATAAGTGCAAATATATTAACTGGTAGTATATTTCGGCATCAGAAACACGCCTATGAGGTTTTTTCTTGCAAAAAAAAATGTTGAAAATTTTTGAAAAGAATTTTGGAAATTTTTTTAGTTTTAAGTTCAAAAACATAATTTCTTGATAATATGGCAACACAGGTAGTATATTAAATTTACATGAAAGAAAATCCAGAAAAGACCCAGTAAAAACAAACAACGAATCACGGCGCGTCTCGGTCTGTTTCGTGTTCTATTTCGATTTATTTCGGAGTTTGCGACCGAGATTCCCAACAACATAAGAGAAGTATTGAGTTTACATATGAAAGTGTTTTCAGAAATTTTTCGCGAAATGTTTCGGGCATAGTGTAGGTGTATAAAATTGAAAGTAAAAAGCAAGTAAAGGAAGTAGCAACAAAAATATACGTTTTTGGCGTTACATAACTTTTTATGCTTTACTGAATAAACTAGTAGTACTTTTATTATAAGCCTTTTATTGAGTTAAACTTATTCATAATTTATTATTTCGCAGCAACATTTTTCCGATTTACTTGAAGAATAATTCAAGAGGGGAAACTGGAGAAAGTGTTTTTCTTTTGGGGGCCTACGTATTATTTATTTTCTAATTTAGTCAGGACACAATACCTCTTTTTTCTTTTTAAAAATTCAAGAATTCAAGAGGTGCGGAGAAGCAGAAAGACATTCTTAGGTAATTCTGTTTTACGGCATTTGCAAATAGGATAGAATGATAAATGTTTGAAAGAGGTAGATATTGGCGAATTATGAAATGAAATATATTTTTGGATTGATATTGTCTTTAAGTTATAATTGCAATATTGCGTCGGGCATCTTTAGCTCCTAGAATACAAAATTTGAGAATTTTGTTTATGTGTATCTAAAGTATGTACGACGATGTATTTCAGGAAAATATTTTAACATCTGAGAGGGTGGCTCAAAAAAGTGTGAGTGGATGATTTTTTTTAAATGGAACACCCAGTACATTATTGCATTTTTGCCTTCTTTTCAGGTCACTTTACATAATTCGAAGATATGAGTAAATATATTTCGATCGTTTCAGATATATTAATAAATAATTATTATACAGGGTGTTTCAAAACAAATGCAAAAAACTTCAGGGGGTGATTCCTTGTTCAAAATAAAGGGTAGTTTGCTTCATAAACGTTGGGTCAAAAGTCAACCATTAGGGAGATATCGCGGTACAAAGATGGCGGAAAAATAATGTTCTTATTTTTTATCTTGAAAACGAAAAGAGATAGACTAATGAAATTTTATGGAAGCATTACTGTTATGAAAACACACTTTCTGGTAATTTTTCACTTTTAAAATGAGTGGAAGGGGTTGAAATAAACTACCCTTATCATTCTTGTTAAGGAAATTTAAAGAAAAATCTTATCAAACACATGCAAAAAAAAATTAATTTGGATAGTTTAGTTTGTTTAGAAACTTTTTATCTCTTGTATTTTTTATAAAAACTCGCCGATTTGAAATTAAAAAATAAAATGTAAAGCATTACATGTCAGGACTAAAAATATTTTTAGATTAGGAATCTAGTGATAATAATGATAATAATAATAATCTAGATAATAACGTATTGCAGTAGGGTAATGTCAAATAAAACAATATTAGAAACATCCTAAAAGTGACAGCGGCCGACTAGATTTTTTCCTAAAAAATTACAGCTGCCCAATAGATTCTTTATCTAAAAAATGTTTTTGTCCTGACATGTAATGCTTTACATTTTATTTTTTAATTTCAAATCGGTGAGTTTTATCAAAAAAACACAAGAGATAAAAAGTTTCTAAATAAACTAAACTATCAAAATTAATTTTTTTTGCATGTGTTTGATAAGATTTTTCTTTAAATTTCATTAACAAGAATGATAGGGGTAGTTTATTTCAACCCCTTCCACTCATTTTAAAAGTGAAAAATTACCAGAAAGTGTGTTTTCATAACAGTAATGCTTCCGTAAAATTTCATTAGTCTATCTCTTTTCGTTTTCAAGATAAAAAATAAAAACATTATTTTTCCGCCATCTTTGTACCGCGATATCTCCCTAATGGTTGACTTTTGACCCAACGTTTATAAAGCAAACTACCCTTTAT